CCCGGAATGTTGCACGACTGAAAAACCGAAGATGATTTATTGAACTGTGACAATAGTTCACTGTGACAGCTTTGGAGGACTACTCTCCCTCCCGCAGGAAGGTGGGTCACTGAGGAGGCTGTTGGGACAGCATGTGCATGTGTCACGGCTCCCAGACCCCCCAGGCCATTCCATCTGAGCAGACGCCCAACGAGCCAAGAGGGCGGCTCTGTCACCAGACCCTGGGCTGTGTCCACTGGGCTCGACTCAACGGTGCAAGCGAGTCTCTGAGGGTAACTGTCACGACCCTGCAGCCATCAGGAGACAAACCAAGGACCAAAGGCGGGAGAGGAATCCCTTTATCTGGCCCTCCTGCCCTGCACACGGCTGCATCGGCTCATTCCCGGGCCTCGGCCGCCTCACGAACCGTCCGGGTCACGCCCCATTCCACGGGTGCTCCGTTCCCCACCCCGCGTGCCTGGTCCGTGCAGACCCCTCTGAGTCGAAAGGTCAAGCGCTGCTCGGGGAGACAACCAGGCCTCATTTGCATTTGTTCCTGCTCAGAACAAATGTGTACAGGTGTGTACCCCATCGTTTGAAGTGTGTTCACGTTTTAAAAAAGCAAAGGTATTCTGGCACACGCCAGGGTTCAGCCCCGGGCAGGACGTGAGCGCTGCCTCGTGTCTGCCCTGCGGGCTGGTCCCTGCTCTGTCCTCTCGTTGCCCCCAACCGTCTTAGCTACAGGGTTCTGGAGGGTGGCTCGTGCGATGGGCCCTCCGTGCGGCACTCCTGCCGATCCTTGCTCTCTCCTCCTTTGTCCCCACCGCCCATATGACTGCCACCCTTGTGATGGGACAGAGCTTGAGGACACCTGAAAACACGCTGGATTTGGAGACCTGCGCTCCAGCTCTGCCTTTTCCTAGTCAGGTGGCCTCTCTCTCAACTTCCCTTCCTCCCATCAACATGGCGAGTACGGCCTTAAAAATTGATCTCTACGGCGATGATAACAGCACTCTGGGCTGGGCCTTATCTTACCCCTTTGCAAAGCACAGACTCGCTCCAGGGTCCCAGCCACTGTTCACTTCCTGACAACCAGGTGGAACCAGCGGATGACTCATTCAGGGGACACCGGCTTGTGGTCTGAGTCCGCAGAGCCATCAGAGTGGGTGGAAGGATGTCCTCAGCACTGGGTTTTGTGGAGGTGGGTGTCAGTGATCTGGACGGTGGTCCCTCACACTCAAAGGTGAAAAGAGCCAAACTGACACATGAAATTATCCACCCAAATCCCATGTCATTTCACCAGCGCCCACGCACGGACGTTTTCCAGCACGGGGCCTTCACGTTACACGGCGCTTTATCCGAGCTAGCGTTCTATCTACGCTGAGTTTTAAACACAGTTTGGTTTTATCTTTATAAAAGGGCCACTGATGTATGCTCACACACATCGAAGTAAAATTGTATAAGAATAACTTAGTTCGACACTAATGCTTTGAAGACGACTCTCTCATTGGGGCTGGAGAAAAATGTCTCCATCTGTGCACTTCACACACGTGTTGAGTCCCGACCGTTGCCTATTCAGGCGGCACCCACGGATTTCTTCGGAGAGCCCGGCTGAGGGCCATTTCACTGTGTGGCGTGTGGCCCCGGGAAGGCACCTTTGCTGTGCCGCCTGAAAGGAGAAACACAAGTGTCTGTCCAGAACCAGGTCTCTCTTGATAAATCAGCGGTGCACTGCCTCACTCCACCAATACCTGCTAGTTATTTTTAGGATGTTTCTGAAATATGAATCAAGAAGACAACGAACAAAAGCGAAACTGTCCGGCCGCCCTGCGAAGAAAACCATGAAGTTCCCACATGGATGTGCTCCTTGAGAACACAATGCCCTTCCTCGTCGCTGGGCTCTGTCACCATCTCAGAAAAGGATGTTTTTGCAATCAGGGCAGAAATGTGACTGGCCGCCTGCGTTTACATTTCTTTGTTGCACAATGAATGTAACTTGTTCAGCTTCCAGCAGCGGAGAAAGGAGCAAAAGTAGTGGTTACTTTCCAAAGTGAAACTTAAAACCACAACCTCCGGTGCACAAAAGGCGGAATGAGTCACCGGAAGAGGCCACTTGCTTGCAAAACTCATTAAGAGCAATGCGGGGCTGAATGGACTTCCTGCGCCAGCGAAAAGATCTCTGGCATCAGGACCATTCCTCCAGGCCCCAACAATTTGGGGGAGGCAGGAAGTCATCAGAAATCTGGGCGAAGCCCCGGTCTGCTGGTTGACAAGTGCCCCCGCCTCCTGGCAGGCAGAATCCCCTCCCAGCCTGGACCAGCTCACGCTGAGATGCCCAGGAAGGCGGCTCCGGCAGCAGCCATGCCTGACAAGCCCAGGAGGCCCTGGGTGGGGTGTCCCGGGGCCTCCCCCCTTCAGCAGATGCCCTCCGTCACTCCGGCCAGGCCAGAGTCAAGTTAGATGTCCTGGGGCAGCTCCACAGAACCAGGCTGCAGGCCTCGGGTTTATCTGCTGGAACTTCAGGTGGGCCCCCCACGCAGTTTCATTCAGAAAGCCCAGGGCAGGGCCCAAGAGCCTGCAGCTCTAACAAGCCACCGGATGCTGGAGCTTCAGGGGCCCCCCCAGACTTCACTTTGAGAGCCGCAAATCTAAACGGTCCTTAGACCTGAACTATAAACAGCTGCAAACACCTCCCTCCTCCGTGATGTTTGACCTTGAGCTGTGCCAGCTGGAGGCCCTTTGATACCTGGAGAGTCCCTCCTCCACCTCTCCCTGAGCCCACAACACACCTGGCTGGTCTCCAAGGCACGCGCTAGCTTGCAGGAGAGGCCGTGGTCCAGCCGGACTTGTTTTTCAAAGGCTGTGCCTCCAAACCAAGCTGGAGTGTGCCCCCAGGTGGCCATTTGGGGTCATTGACTTTCAGAGCCAACTTCTGTTGGGTCGCACTCTGGATCCTTCAGCCACCAAGCCCTGTTGCAATGGCACCGGCACTTCAGCCCCCTCCATCGCAACAGGAGCTAGACCAGGGGTGTCAGACTCTTTTCACCAGGGGCCACATCAGCCTTGAGGGTGCCTTCAAAGGGCTGAATGTAATTTTAGGACTGAATAAATGTAACCTACTCCTTAAACTAGGGGCAAGGAGCTCGGTAGAAACAAGTGCTGAGCTGGATAAATCAGGGTGGAGGGCCCAGTGCGGCCTGCAGGCCTTGTGTTTGCCACCTGTGAGCTAGAGGGGCGGGGGCAGGAAGGGGACCCTGGGGCACTTGAACCACTTTCTCTTCATTTAGGACAGAATTGCTCCCTCATAGCCCCCCTGGGCTGGAGACAGGGCAGTTCATATGACTGCGTAAGAGTGACTGACAGGTGAGTGACAGCTGTCCCTGTGGCCTAGGACCTGGTATGAACAAACTCAGATTCCAGAGGAGGTAGGTTTTTTTGGGGGGGTGGCGGTGCGGGGGTTGTTTTTCAGGGGCCTGCCTAACTCTCCTCCCTGGCTGTTCTCCAGTCCAGGGGTCCCGGTGAGGCCTCATGCATCACCTGCGGTTGGGAAGGGCGCGCTGAGGGCCACAGCCGACAGTCCCTGCCCCACTGCCAATGTGCCTTGGCCTGGAGGATAGAGCTGGTGAGTGTGGTGGCTGTGTCGTCTTTGGAAACCAAAGGCAGGAAGCATTTTGAATGTTTAGGTTTGCAGCTGAGAAGTGGAAAAATGCAAGCTGCAGGCCGGGGAGCTCCAGGCCCAAGCCTAGCGTTTACGCTATTTTCTCCCTTACAGGTGAAAGAGCTTGCAATCTAAAATTGTACTGGAATGAGTCTGTGACGTTCAACCCAATGAGAGGGCTTGTTTTGTCTTGCACACGCACAAGTATTTGTTCTATAGACACCCCAAGGCGAACTCTTCACATCGCGGGGCTTCGAGAGCAGCTCAGCCTGCTGCCCCGTAAGCAATGAAGCATTGAGGGACCACGGCTCTCACATTTATTCCAAAAACTCGTAGGCTGATGCGGGTAGATCAATAGGGTATCTCGGGCACGTCAGTGTTGCACAAAATCGATAGGAATTATGGCAGTGTTCGAGTGGCCTGGGTGGACCAGTCAAGGGTTTTAACTGATTTGTTCAAAATGGAAACAGAGTGGGCACACCATGGAGAAGAGTCCAAACCCTGCGGACAGCGAATGGGGGGCAGGGGGCACTGAGCCGTTTACACTCCTCTCTTCTCTACCTCGGTAGTGCCTCAACATCTTACAAACCTCTCTGGCTGGGGACGGTGCACAGCCACTTCTCAGAGGTGGCAACAGGCCCCTCGGAAGCACACCTGTGAAACGCAGGGTGCCTGTCTGGTCCATACACCCAGAGGCAATAGTCCCCCGCCTTGGCCGTCCCAAGGCCTGGTGCCAGGCCACCAGGGACCAGCCCTGTAGCTTACAGGTCACTGAAATGAGTCCACTAGCCAACCCCAAGCCACCCACTCTGGCCTCCCTGCTGTGTCTCCTGCAGAAACGTCGACAAGAGCCCAGGCTCCCCGCTCCCTCCTGACCAGCACCCCAACAGTTGGTGCTTCCCGGGGCGCAGCCTCCCAGTTCTCGGGCCTGTGAGGGAACACACTTGGTTTTCCTGAGCCTCTCCGGGGTCTTCTCTTACGGCAGCACCTGACTGGCTACCACATAAAAGGACCCAGGACAGAAGCCACTTAGGTAACAGCCACATGGGAAACACAGGCTCTGAGTGGCTCTCCAGGGACAGCCTGTCCACCGACCGCCCTGCTCCCCAGCCACTCCCATGGGTGGGACGCAGGGGGGTGGGGCCGCCCTCTCTTTCCTTCTCCCTACCACCCCTCCCAGGTCCAGGAGGTCAGTGTTTTACCAAAGGCATGGGAAAAGGCTTTTTCCAAACTTTGAATAGTTCGGTCTTCTTTTTTTTTCCTTGAGAATAAAATGTTTGGTATCACACACTGGAAAATCAGCAATCTAATCATTTACTGAAAAAAAAAAAAGTTTAGAATTCACACGCCTGATTTCCGGAAGTCTTTCACGGGTCTCTTTTATTACAGTAGCTTCCAGCTCTGCATCCGGCAGAGCACGGTGGTATTACAAGGACGCTCACCTTGGCGCCACTGTACACACATACAGATCGGGATCGTACACAAAATACGTGAAAGGAGTGACTCACACCTGAAACCGATCAGGGGATTCCCTTTGCAGGTGTCGTCACTTCACAGTACCTGGTGTGCGTACATGTTCGCCATCGAGGGTGATGAACACTCGTCACTGCGCGGCTTTGAGGCGCGGGGTCCGCATGCGGCATTCTAGCACGTGACCGCGGGGCCACTGGTTCGCGGTTGTGTAAACACTGATAAACCAATGCGTGAGCGTGCGGGAAGGTCGCCCATGGGTAAATCTCATTTCCCAAAGCAACAAGCCAGGTGTGAATGTTACTGCCTGTGGGTGGGCGGGGTCCCACTCTGAACTTGACCCAGACGAGAGTGCAACTTTGTGGAAGGCAGGCTCCGGTTCAGAGTGCCGCGGTGCACAAGGCCAAGGTGGCGGGCTCGCACCTGCCGGGGGAGTGGATCAGACCGGCTGGGCCAACAGGGGGCAGGCAGCGGAGAGGGGCGCCACCCACACGCGCCGCGCTGCTCCTCCCTGGAGGGGCGGAGTGACCTCCGCAGGCCCGGAGCTCGTGCTGCGGTCACAGCGGTGGGCGCTCCCCCCAAAACACCCTCGTGGCAGAGAGAATGAGCACAGGCTCAGGGCCACTGACTAGCTAGCCCAGAGTACTTAAGGCAGGGCGACTTTTAACTATTTTCACTGCCTCCCAAAAGGACTGCGCATGCGTGTTTGCGTTTCTATGCAACTAGGGCCACCCACGCAGCCGTCTCCCCTTCCCCACCGGGCCCCTCTGCTCCCCTCCCCAGCCCCCCACCCCCGACCGCAGCGAGGCCAGTGCAGCGAGGCCAGTGCGCTGCGCTCTTTCACAGAAAGAGTACCGTCCGAAGTGCTCCACGCGCTTGCCCCCGCCCCCCGTGGCTCTAACAACGCAAGTTAAATAGAAAAGCACTTCAATCACTGGAGGAAAACGCTCTTTAGAAAAATAATACTTCAAAAAATAAAGCAAAATCTTTTACCAAAATAATCCTTTGACTTTTCAAACTGTTCTCTCTGCAAGCAAATTTAATAAACAAGCTGGGAGATTCATCTCCTAGTGGCTTAGAGAATGTGGCTCGGACCATCGTTTCTCCACCGGCCCTCGATTCGCGTGGGAAAAGCCGAAGAAAACAGAGAGTGACTCCTGGGTCCCGAAGAGGCCGGTGTCGTGAGGTCTGTAGCCTAAGGCTCTGCGGACTAACGCGTACGCGGTATCTTTTTAACATATCAATGACAGTTAAAAGAGAAAGAATATGGCTAAGTGCTTATAACAATAACCCAATCAAAGGAAAGTAATAAATAACCTCTACAAAAAATATAATTTATCTTCTCGAAACTATTTTCTTAAAACCAAGCGGTTTCCTTTGAGGGCTTCCAACGGGAACAGGCCTCACCGCCTGCCTTCAGCGCTGGCTGTGTTCGCGTGCACAGCGTCAGCGCCCCCTTGCGGGGGGACAGGCACTGCACCGGGATCACAGAAGTACTGCCCCAGAAACGTCTCCTACATCTGAACCTAAGGCGTGGCGGGGCTACCGAGTGCCGGACAGAGCCTGCCTCCTCGAGCCACACACAGGGGGCGGGAGATCAGCGGGTCACACAGGCTACCTTTAACCAAAGGGATTTAAAGAAGGGCTCATCACCTAAAAATTAGACCAGTCCGCGAACACTGTAGGGGAACATCCGGCCAGGGGCAGAAGAGGGGTAGGAGCTGCCACAAGGGATGTGGCCCGCCCTCCAGTCGTGCGCATCGGGCATTCCTCAGTTACACTGCCCCCAGCAGGGCCCGGGAGCCACCTCTGCTCCAGGTCATGGGCGCACGCGGCACAGTGACCACTGACCAAGGACTCGCCGCAGGCCAGGAGGGCAGTGCCAACGCCTCCTACTGCAGAGGCGCCCAGTCGTTGCCTATGAAGTGCACCCTGAAGTAGCAGTTGACTTAGAAATGTCAGCCCTCGGGGCCGCGGGGAGGGAGGAACGTGGGTCTCGACTCTCCCTGCTCTCCAGCGAGTGACTGAACACCAGGCTCCCAAGCTCCGATCCTCGGCTGCCAGAGCCCGTCTCCGATGGGGCGGGGCGCGGCCCCGCAGGAGGTGGGCGCTCGCTCGGAGCGTTCAGGCAGAGGCAGAGCGGACGTCCTGGTCCTCAAACGGGGGCGGTGGCTCTCTCCAGAAGGTGAAGTCGCTGAACGTGTCCGAGCAGGGGAAGTCAGAAGAGTGGCTCCTTTTCAGCAGTGGGAAAACATGGTCGACCACCTCACAGAGCCGCACGTACCTGCAAGGAAAGCGACATCATTGCCTGCCTCCCAGCGACACCGGGTGGAGGGGCACACCTGCCACGCCCCCCGCACCGCGTTAGAAAACTAGAAGAAAGCCACAACCCTGAGGGGTCTGCCCAGGGGTGAACACAACAGAGGGTGCCTAGAATAACTCCTCGGCAATTAACAGGAAATCGAAGGACACGCCAAGGAGGAGTCGGAGAAGGCCCCACAGCGAGGCGACAAGACCCCACAGTGAGGTGACAAGACCCCACGTGGCAGGGAGAATAGAGGAGGAGGGCAGAGCGGGACAGAGGAAGACGAGAGGACGTCAGCCCGGCAGAGGGACCCCCCGCAGACCTCACGCATGGGCACCGCAGGAACAGAGTCCAGACCCCCACAGCGTTGTGGGGCTGTGTCCCTGTGCAGTGAGGAGGCACAGGGCCCTGGGCTTCAGGAGACACAGACCGACTTCGGCCTTGCCACTCACTCGCCGTGGGATCTTGGGGAAACGGCTTTGTCTGCTAAGCCACAACCCATCCCCCCCTGTGCCCCTTGAGGGGCAGGCAGTGAGCGGCCCACACTGCTCACAGAATTAAATTAAGCAGAGTATGCAGCAATACGATCACGCACACTGCGTGTTCTCGACATATAGTCAACGAACAATTATTATTAGGAAAGAATTAGCCCTGGCTAATGAGCAGCTTAAGAAAAGCCATCATTGACCTGAGGGTCTCGAGGCCTGGGACCTGCTCCTGCCCTACTGCTGTGGAACCCGGAGCAAGTGTTTTGCCCACTCTAGGCCTCAGACTCTTTATCCTTCTTGAGTATGGACTTGAACTAGACCCGTATTTGTCAACGTGCCCTGCAATTCCCTCACTCCATTTTCTGTATATTCCCAAGAAGCCGTTGCAAGTTAGTGTCTGTGGCCTACTGCAGAAAGAAATGTGCGTAGTGAATATGCATTTTCAGACCTCCAGGCGCCTCCAACCACGAGCTGTGATGAGGCCAGGCCTCTCTGAACATCCCCAGAGCCCTCCCTCACAGCCACTGGGTCCCTCTCCGGTTCCAAGTTGCTGAGAACCAAAAGGGGCCTTCCAAAATCCAGCCTCTAGGAATTAGCGTGTTCTGAGGCATAAAATAGCTTATTAAATAAGAATGAATGTGTGTATTTAATAAAGGACCTCCAAAGGGCTTCTGAGAAACAGCGTGCTTGCATAAAACGAAAAAAAGAACATCTCCCTTAACGAGCAAGAATTATGTCTTTCCTGGGGATGAAAACAAATGTTTACAATACCTCCTGGCTTTAGGACCTATTTGTCTGAGTTCTGCGGCTATGAGAGGCGGCCATCCCTGCGGGGCGGTGGGGTGGGGTGGGGTGGGGAGCGGCTCCCCCAGCACTCACTGCCAGGGTGTGGGCCCCAGCCCGGGCGCTGCCCCAGGCTCTGAGTGAGCACGGGCCCTGCCCCATCCACAAGCCTGGCGCCCTACCTCCTGCACAGGGCTCCTGCTGGGCACAGCGCCCAGGAGACATGCACTGAAGCCCCCCACCCAGCAGGGCCCTTAGACCCTCGAGGACCTTTCAGGTGACTCCTCGGAGCTAGTGCCACAGGCCGGGGGGGGGGCAGGCACCCACCTGCCTTTGCAATGGTGGTCCCGGTTCTGCCCCAGGTGTGGAGAGTGTGCTTTCCGGGGAAAGGAGCCCCTCTCTCGGGGACAGCCACACCCCCAGCCCAGGCTAAGACAGCCTCCCTCAGCCACACGTGCAGTGGTCTCGCTCTGGCACCCGGGGCTCCATGCTAGGCCAAGTTCCCGGCAAAGTGTGCGTTCAAGCCGAGTCTCAGCGAAGAGGGTAACCTCAGGGGCCTCCTGGGCAAACCATCACAGATGCTGGACTCGCCCTCTGCCGGTCCCTTAGAACACTTGTCCCTTGGCTGCTGCCCAGCAGACACCTCGGTCATTCCTGCGCAGCGTCCCATGGGCTGGGAGTTCTCTCTGAACCTAAATAAAAATCTGCTAGACCTTCCTCAGACTCAGGAAGCCGTGTCATGTGGGAGGGTGACAGGCTGGGGAGCCAGGGCAGAGGGGGCTCTGGAGTCCCCAGGGGAGGCCTGGCGTCATCAGGGTGGCTGCACAGGACTCGGGAGGGGAAAATGCTGAGAGGACTGAGAGGAATCAGCCCCGTGTGAGTCCGGGTTGGACTCCTGCTGGCAGAAGGAGCTCTCAAGGGCGACAACGTTCTCCGGGGAAACCCAGGTCTGCCGTCTACCTAAGCCCACCAGTGGCACTGGGAGAACACCCAAATGTGCCATCCCAACCCCTCCACCCGAGGAGAGCGCCGGCAGGCCCCTGTGGTCATCGGGCCAGTGGCCATCATCTGGGTCTGGGCAGACGGGGCCAAACAGGCAGCCACGCCTGTCTGCCTGGTGTCACCCGGTTGTGCAAAGCTCCTGGGGCGAGGAAGCCCTCTCCCCTCCAGGGAGTGAGCAGCCTGAAGTGAGAAGTGCCCAAGTCAGAGAGACGCCGCAGCCACACAGGACACCCCCCTGCCCTCGCCCAGCCCAGCCCTCAGCGGCAGTGGCGGGAAACCAGGCCGGGACCCCCACTGCAGGAGGGGCGTTTCCGGTGGGGCACGGCCATATTTCGGGGGGCGCCGCTGCGGTGGGCCAGAATGGAAGGGAGACACTGTCCCTTGGCCGTAGGCTGTAGCGCCCCACGATGCTTTGTGTGCCTGCCCCTCACATCGCGCTCCAGGCTCTGAAACCTAACTTGGTGACTCGCAGCCTCTAGTTTTCAAACTCATTCAATGCCTCTCTGGAGCGGAGTGCGACCTCGAGTTTAAACGCTCCACCCAGAGGGGGTCTGATCTAATTTAGGCTGTGCAAACGTGAAGTTTTGGACAAAATACGGGAGTTAAAATCTACTTTCCCTGTGGGAATGAACGGTAAGATGCTGGTGACCCCGGTGACCCCGGTGATGCTGGGGCGGGGCAACTCACGAGGAGATGTTGGTCTTGGCGTGCTCCTGCACCAGCTCCCCTTTGGGGTTCACGGTGAATATCCTGTTCAGGGACACGCCCACTTGCTTGTACGAATACACGTCCTGTGTTGGGTGAAGGGTACAGAAAAGGAGTTCACTGTAAATACAAACAGAGGACACCTCGGATCTGATGCAACATCACGCGTGTTCGTGGACCAGAACCACGCTCCCAGCTAGAGCAGGGGAAGAACATCCCCGGACACGAGACTGCAGGATTGGTGCTCCCCTCTGCACCCCCCGCCCCCGACCCGTGCGCTCAGCATCTCGGGACGGGAGTTCCAGAGGCGGACCCTCGGCACAGCCCCTGCAGCCCACCCTCTCCTCACTGCTCTTCCCCAACCCATCTTCTTGGGCACGAGTTTCAAAAGTAGCAGAATTCTCTTACTCTGTTCTCCTGATCATTGACCTTTGTGGCAAATTGGGGCAGAAGACACAAAAATGCCGGAGTATTTCTTTTACTGTCTGAGGCACGACCATCCCCCCCCCCTTATGCACAGAGGACGTGGTCCGAGACCCCTAGTGGGGGCCTGAAACCGGGGATGGCACCAGACCCTACAGGGGACTATGTTTTTCCTGCGCGATGCAGACCCTTGATTAGGTTTAATTACCAATTGGGCATAGCGAGAGATCAACAACAATAACCAGTAAGAGAGCAGAAGAACTGAAATGCTGTGTTGTGATAAAAGGTACGTGAGTGTGGTGTCACCAAGGGAAACACGGGTGACTTGGACGCAAGCGCTGATGCCACAAGTCCATCTGACGTCCCAGACGGTGACCAGTGACAGACCTAACAGGCAGCGAGCGAGGAGGGGTGTCCAACCTGCGGCCTGTCGGCCACACGCAGCCCAGGACGGCTGTGAACATGGCCCAATACAAAATCGTAAACTCACTTAAAACACTGGAGAGAGAGAGAGAGAGAGTGTGAGTGTGTGAGTGTGTGAGTGTGTGTGTGTGTGTGTGTGTGTGTGAGACTACTTGTCTCGGTGTATTTAACATGTGGCCCACAGACAACGACAATTTGGGCACAGCGTGAGCACGCTGGACTGAGGGCAGACTCCTGGGTGGGAGTGGGACGCGAGAGACTTCATCTTGCTGCTCAGCAGGGTGAGCAGGTTAACACTGACGAACTGTTTATTTCTGGACCCTTCCACTTAATATTTTCAGATTGTGGTTGATATCAAGTAACTGCGACCACAGAAAGCAAAACCGCGGCTAAGTGTGGGGGACCACTGCACCTTTAAAACTTGCAACGAGGAACTCACTGCTGTGCTAGGAATTGGCCCTGCGGTTCCCGGCGGGCAGAACCTAACCTGGCCCCGCATTCTTGTTTGACTGATTCAGCAGGTCGTTCGGAACTGAATGTTTCTAGTCCCACCTCTCACGCCTCAATCTGAGACCCAATGGCCAAACTTCAAAGAGAACTAGAGGCCGTGAGATAGCTAGTCGTCCCCTTGCCTTTGGATGCAGGCCAACGCCTGTTACCCGCGCTCCCTGGTCGAAGGGGAGCCTGACCTCGCACGCAGCCTTTTGGGGGGGCAGCTGTTAGGAAAGGTGGGGGCCCCAGAGCACCCCGGCCACTACTTACGGCAGGTCGGTTTCCAAAGGCAGCATAAAAGGGCTCTGTGTTTGGAAAAAACAGGTTTTTTATGTCCGTCAAACACTGGACTTTAAACTTTTCTGGCTTCTTTTCGATGACTTCTCTGTTAAAACAAACAAAAATGGAGCAGCATGAGAGGATAAGCTTCATTCGCATTGAGCCCTTGGTGTCAAGGACGCCGTGACCCGAACAGCCCTCATATCTTCAGAGGCTGACTGTGCGTCAGTCCGCTCTGCTGTCCCAGAAAAGTGCTGGACAGGAAGGGACTCCCTCCTTCCAAGTCCTCCACATGGAAAGGCTGAGGACAGCGGCCTCCTGCTCGGCCAGGGAATGAGAACCCAGCACACAGCAGAGAAGGAAACGCCTCCCACCTTGTGTCTGAAGCCAGCACAGCCTCGGAACAACCCTGAGGAAACAGTGTGAGCAGCACGGGGGCCGATCTCATTTGTGAATATCGGTGTAAGACTTCTAAATTATTTTAAAAATCCATCAAAATACACTAGGGAAGACCCGAATAAATGAAGCAATGTACCACAGGACTGAATTGAAAGATGCACGCTATACAAGATTGTAATTCTCCCTAAACTGATCTCTATAGGTCCATTGTAATTTCAAACTCTCACTAGATTTTTGTATGTTTCCGTGGCACTTGATTTTGATGGCTACACAGAAGCGCAAAGGGCAAAATATGTTTATAAACTCTTGACGTACGACCACAGTGACAAGGGGAAGCAGGAAGAAAGGACAGACTTGTTGGGAAACGGTGCGAGGACAATGGACTATACCTCTGTGGAGACAAAAGGAGAAAAGAGACCCTACTGGACATTATGTGGAAACCCAACTCCTGGTCGATTACAGACCAAAATGTGAAGGGCCACAGTGACACCCAGCAACCCGGGGGACAAAGCGCAGCATGCTCCGGAGAGCTCGCTTCGTGTGCGCACGGTCCCCGAGTGCACACAACTGGTAGGGCTACAAAACAAGGAGTATCAACACAAAATTCAGGGGTAACGGTTACCGTGACCGCCGCGGGGGCAGGGGTGCGAGTGGCTGGACTTGCCTCCCCTGGGGTACGGGGACACGGGCGTTCACTGTTTGGGGGCCCTTTGTCGCTTGCAGGCGTCTTAGGAAAACTCTCATCCCTTCTCCAGATGTAGTTCAGTGATGACGACGGAGAGGAGCACCAGACAGTGTCCAAGGCCAGTGCTGCCCCAGGCTCTCACGGACTGCGGGGACTCCAGGGCCCCCTGAACACCTGAACAGGACTGCGGGGACTCCAGGGCACCATGACACCTGAACAGGACTGCGGGGACTCCAGGGCCCCCTGAACACCTGAACAGGACTGCGGGGACTCCAGGGCACCATGAACACCTGAACAGGACTGCGGGGACTCCAGGGCCCCCTGAACACCTGAACGGGACTGCAGGGACTCCAGGGCCCCCTGAACACCTGAACAGGACTGCGGGGACTCCAGGGCACCATGACACCTGAACGGGACTGCGGGGGACTCCAGGGCACCATGACACCTGAACGGGACTGCCAGGGCACCATGAACGGGACTTGTACCTTGGGCCCAGGGAGACACGGATGGCTGACTGCCAGTTTGGACCAGAGACGTAACTGACGCACAACACTGCGTTAGTTTCAGGCACACGACACAGGAACTCTACACACACACACACACACACACACACTGCGAGATGATCGTCACAGCAAGTCTAGTCAACGTCCATCACTGCACACAGCAACACTTCCTCCTCCTGCGACGAGAGGTTTGAAGATCCACTCTCAGCAGTGATCGTATGGCTTTGTCTCCAACCCCAGTCCACTGGGGAAATCACCCAAACTCAACTTCCTGCTTCTCTCCCCCCCACACACAGGCTCCAGCAGTTCAAACCAGCCCAGGAACGAAGAGCCACGGGACTCAGCCAAGGCGCATCGGTCCAGCCCTGTGCGTCCACCAGCTGACGCCCCTGCCCTGCGAGGCTGGAGCTGCGCTAGCCAGGAGGGGGCCTGTGCTAACAGCAAAGGGCTCATGAGAATGACCCGAGCAGCCCTGCCGCCACCGCCACACGGGGCCGGCAGCCAAAGGGTCCCAGGACTCACGGCCACTCGCCAGAGGGCAAGACGCGTGAACAGATGTCACCTTCGTTTCCAGATGTACTGGGCTGGCCAATAAGCCCGTGCGCTTTTTTCTGAACGATGGCTCTGTAGGGCTTTGTTGTCTTGAACTTCACATGAAACCATTTTTGTTAGATTGTGTTGTGACAGCTGTCCTGTCAGCGTGCACTAAAAAACTTACCAAAATTGGTGAATTTTTGTGCAGCCATTTTAATACTGAAGATGGAAGAAAATAAGCAACATTTTCAGGATGTGATGCTTTATTTATTATTTCAAGAAAGGTAAACATGCCACCAAAATGTAAAAGATGTGTGCAGTGCGTGGAGACGGTGCTGTGACTGATCGCTCGAACGCGTTACACGCAGTTTGCGTGGTTTCAGGCTGCAGATTTCTCGTGGGACGATGCTCGGAGTTTGGGCAGACCAGTTGAGACTGACAGCGATCAAATCAACATGTTAACTGAGAGCAATCACGTTCTACCACACGGGACAGAGCCAACGTACTCCACACGTACAAATCAGTAGTCATTGGTGAAAACGAAAAATGTGTCTTTTTTTTGTGGGGAAAAAATCACACGAACCTCTTGGCCAGCCCACTGTCTCCTGGACGTGCAGCATTCCAAAGCTCAGAGGGACACTGTGGATCCTCTAACCCCACCCTGTCACTTGGCAGCTGAGGACACAGACCCAGCAAAGGGACGACACCACTCATTAGTCAGTCACCCGGCAGCCTCGGAGGGTGGGGCCCTGGTCCCCACTCCAGACTCTGTGCATCCCACACCGAGGGCTCATTGCTGCCGACTCTGCCGCTCGCACACCCCCCAGTTTACACCCAGACAGTGCAGTCGCAGCGGCACCCGATTCGAGTCTCACTAGGCAGGTCACGGTGCTCACGGCAGACTTCCCGTCAGTTCCGGGACATCTGAGGCTGCCCGCAGCTCGGCCCTGGCTGGGGGCCCCGGGCCACACCACCCAGAGCGCCTCCAGCTCCCGGGAGGGTGCAGGGCTGTGAGGGTCGGGCTTCTCTTTCTAATAATTCCCCACAAGGACACAGTGACAGGTCTTGGACGGGAATATTTAAGTAAGGAAAAACCGGAAAGGATCACCTTGAATTATTTCAGCGGTAGGAGGTCAAGAACAAAAATGTCGGCTTCAGACTTTGCCTGGCAAAGCCTCAGTGCCTAACGTGCTACCAAGCAGCTCGTCACACCCTGTGCACGTGACCCAGGGACACTTCGTTAAAATACTGGACCACTGAGTCATCTCGTCAAAACGTCTGGATTCCTACTGAGGCCTCCGTCGCGACCCCTCGCAGGACTCGGAATATACCACGGCACCCACCGGTGTGGCCCGCATTTCTCCCCAGAAGGGGCCAGTTTCAACGCAGCACCTCTTCCTACGGGAAAGGAAACGGCCCTCATCCTTGAGGGGAAAAGGTCGCTGCGGAGCTAAAGAGAAACGGTCCGAGGGTCGGCGGGGCACAGGGGCCGCCTGGACTTCCCACCACTGGCCCGGGCAGAGCAGCAGGCAGCAACTCTGGTCCTCAATTGAGGCACAATCATGACACAGCTTTTCATCGGGTGTTCGAGACACAACTGCAGGGGACACACATCCAGCCCTTGGCAGGGCCACTGTCCTGTTATGGCCACAGCAGGTTATGCTACGAGAGCATCTGGAAGCTGCCCAGGGCCTCGGGCTGCTCAGAGGTGGCCAGCGCTCCCCTCTCCCACTCCTCAGGCCAGAGTTCAACTGGGCTGCCCTGACCGGAGTCAAGAGGGCAGGGCTGAGATAGGAGGGTCGAGAGAACCTGGCTGGTGGTCTGTTGGAGCACCATTAAAATCAACAGCAAACAGAACTCCCTGGGAGGACGAGTGTGATGGGAGTCCAAGGCCAGGTGAGTGAGTGGTGGTGTCTGGCAGGAGGGCCACTGAACCCGACCTAGGTCCCCGACTAGACGGACTGCAAGGTGACTCTCAGACTCAGCCAGACAGCACGAGGCAAGGAAGGGGCACAGGAGGAGGGGCAGCCACCACAAAGGGGGCACAGCGCGTGGTCAGGGGAGAGAACTTCACTGTGGCAAGTGGAGCCAGCTCAGCACCATGAGCTCTAGAAACTGGAGAAACGAGACTGAGAGGAGGCGGCAGGTCCCCAACAGCCACGTGACGCCAAGGATGAGCAGTGAAGGGAGCGGGCAGGGCCACCCTGCACTTCTGGGCTATTTTCCCGGTGCCCCCCACGGAGACGGGAGCTGGGTCAGGAAGACCGCTGTTCAGAGGCCATTCTGGCAAACCCCCCGGGGAGGGAGACAGGCCCGCCCGGGGCAGCGCCCTACCTGTGCAAGGCGGAGAAGAGGCTGCTGGGGCTGAGCAGCAGGGGCCCCTGCGGCAGCACCGTGCCCCTCTCGTTGACCCAGTGCAGGTAGCCCCTCGTCATGTCCGCCATCCCGATGGCACGTGCGGAGCAGTAGAGAAACTTGTACCCGTTCCTGGAGGAGACAAATGTGCACTCTCAGTGGCATCGCACAGGGGGCTCCTGCATACCCACATCCGCCCGGACCCGCATCCTCCCCCTCAACGTGGCCTGGTGGCCGGTCTCCTCAAGGCCACAGTCCACAAAACCTGGCATGGACGCCACCTGCCTCCTCGCCGGCTGCTTCTTCCCAGACAAGTCGCCATGGCGCCCAGTGTGCTGGCCTCTGAAGGCCCAGGAGTTCTGGGGTCCTTGGGCCCCATTTCTTCTCACCCGCACCCTCGGCTCTACACGCCGCACCCTGACCGAGGCAGCAGCAGACAGCAGTGACGCTGGGACACCACAGACGCAGTCGGTCTGCGTCCCGGGTTCCTGGCACGGGACCTCCAAGCCCTCGGAATTCCCTCGGCGATGAGAGTGAGGGGAACCCCTTCCACCCACCCCCGGGTTCCTGCTAATGAGATGGCGCGTGCGGGGTGGGGGCCGGTGGCCGGGGGGAGGAACCAGCAGCCGGAGCTCAGACACCAAGGTCGCAGGACTTAGTCAAGCCCAAGTACTGAAGCCCCTGTGCAACCCCAACCAGTGGGGTTCAGACAGCTTCCGGTTCGGGAACGGATCCTCATGCTGAGAAGGTGGCACACCACAACTCCGCTGTGGGGGGTCCCTTCCCAGCCTCACTCTATGCATTTCACCGGCTATTCCTTTGTATCCTTGGTAATAAACCAGTAAGTATGTTTCCTTCAGTTCTGAGCAGAGCCAGAGTCATCATAGCAAATTACCAAAATGGGAGGGGGGGGGAGCGGGGAATCACCAGTTTATAGCCAAGTTAGGCAGATGTGTGAGTAATCTGGGGACCAGCTCCTTGCCCGAGTATCTCAAGTAGGGGCAGCCTTGTGGGGACCCCCACCTGCACTCCCGCCACAGCCTGAACCATCCCCCACCCCCCCCCATCAAGTCTCCACACGGAAAGAAAACTGAAAACTTAACGTGCAACCAGATCCTGCTCACAGCCCTCCCACACCTTGCCCTCTCTCAGCCAGAACCCAGTTCCTTGCCGCGACCTCCAAGGCCAGCAAGCCCTGCCCTCCGACCCCACCTGCTCCTGGCTCAGCACACGGGGGTGGGTTCTTGCCACCCCCCCCCCACTCGCTGAGCTTGCTCCTGCACTGGACCCCTGCAAGTCCTGTTCCCAAACACTGTCCCCCCAGACCCTCGGGGCTCTGCTCAGACGCCACCCACCAAAGGGCCCTTCCCTCTCCCTCTGGGTAAAAAAACTCACCCGCCCTTGCCCTCACCCCAGGCACTAACACTTGCCCTGTCTGTCCCCGTGTCGCCTAGCTCTGGTAATTCACTGCGGTCCCCTGTTTGCCATCTCACTGATCTGCACACTCCCTGTGGGTGGGGACTCTGTCTCCCTCCCGGCTGGAACCCCCGTGCCCAAAGCAGAGCCTGGCAGACACGCAGACACTCAGCGCAGACACTCAGAAACATCCGCTGGAGGAGCCCGTGCCAACTCCCCACTTCTCGACTCCCTGCTCCCCCACCAACACCACATGCCGGCTGCAGGCTGCAGGACGGGGCTGGCTGAGTGTCCTTTGAAAGGAGAAACAGGATCGTTTTAAGACTAAAGAGAATCTACAAACATCAGCTTGTCTGGACTGCAGGGATGCATCTGAACACCAAGCAATGTTTCTAATTAAACATCTTCATACTTGAGCTGTCTAATCAATGCAATCTTTTAAAAAAATCACTATGTCTGCATACAGCTTTTCACACCCAAGTCCTTAGCGGCCACCTGCAGGGAGGGCTCTGAGATGCTAATTTGATTCAAAACTCGCTTTTCAAAAGCACTTCCCAGTGGCTGCTGTCACCACCCAGCTGTCCACCGCAGGTCATCCCTAAGCTCAGCTGGAAAAGCAGCCTGGGAAAGGAGAACACGCTTGTAGGTGGCAGCAGGAGCTGGCTTCCCAGGGCCTTCGTCCCAGGAAAGCTGCCGGGAACACCAGGGCCTCCCCTCAATGCCCAGGTGCCCCAAGCCCCTGCAGGCCACGGCCAGCAGCAGCGGGAGAGCCGCTGCTCTGGGGGCTGTGCACCTCACTGGTCCGAGTGTCTGGGTGTCCCGGGGAACACACGTCAGACTCAGCGCTCAGGTGGGTGCGAGTCCACTCTTCCCAGCCCTAAGGGAAATACAAGGAGGCTTCCAACCGTCTCAGATCCTCACCTCCCCAGTTCACTCGCACTACACGGGTTGGTAAAGAAGAAAAGGCTTGGGTGTGTTTTGGTAAACTGCACTTTATTTTTCAATTAGATATCTTTTCTAGGAAAACCCAAATACACACAAATCAAGACAGCCCCCTCCCAAAAATAATGTAACTGCTTTTTTTTAATGTTTCAGTGAAGACAGGAATAGATCTATGTTCCAAAAGCCACAATGAGTCAGGCTGTGAACTGAGAATTACTCAGTAGCCTGACCCAAGATGGTTTCTTTCAACCCAAAATAGACGCAATTGTCAAGTGTCATGCAAGTCACTGAAAAGCAGCCACTTAATCCTTCTAAAAACAAATCTGCCCATGGCGAGGGGGGCTGTGGGGAGAGGGCTCAGCACACACAGGGCTGGGAGCATGCAGGGGGGAAGGACTGCGCAGGGGGCAGCTCGGGATGCGGAAGGATCGGCCCTTTGCCTGCGCTCCGCCTCTGACCAGCGGTCTCCCCTTCTGATTCCCCTCTGCGGAGCCCGACTTCCGGCGGACTGCCCCAAGCGGCCCGACTGAGTGCGCCTGCTTCAGTGATTCCTACACTCATTACACACCGCAGACGGGGTGTAAGGGCTGCTGCCTCTGCTGGCGATAGTGCAAACGCAGAGACTACCTACCAAGTCCATCGACAGAGGACTAGATGCAACGGGCTTTCGCCATATCGTTGAATTGTGTGTGGCGGTTAAGAAGAGGTAAACCTGCCCTGGCTGGTGTGGCTCAGTGGACTGAGTGCCAGCCCGCGAAACAAAGGGTCACCGGTACGATTCCTCGTTAGGGCACACGCCTGGGTTGTGGGCCAGGTGCCCAGTAGGGGGCGCGCAAGAGGCAACCACACACTGATGTTTCTCTCCCCCTCTCTCCCTCCTTTCCCTGTCTCTAAAAATAAATAAAAATCTTTAAAAAAAAAAAAACAAGAGGTAAACCCAACATGTGGTGGAGCATAAGGGTGCATTTCGTAACTGTTTAGCGAGTGGATTAGCTTGGCACTTGAGCATGAAGGAAGAAGACACAACCTCTGCACTTTTAAATTTCTCTAGTTTTCTCATGTCTCTCTCTACTTAAAAGAGTCGTGTATTACTTAGGTAATTTTTTATACAAGAGACCCAAAAAAGAAAGGTCCAACCAGTGATCTCAGCATCTAAGAAATCGGAAGTTTCTGATTCCACCAGAACGGAAGGTCCCCTCCCAGGCAACCCTCCCAACACTGGAGCACGAGGCCCAGGATGCAGAGACTGTGTCTGCGTCATTGTCACCCTGCGCACCTGTCACCAGGCCAGGCACTCGGAAAGCACTGGGCGAATGAATGAGTGCGGAGCAGAAAGGACACGCTTCACTCACCCGTGCTCACGGACCACCGGAAATAGTGCTGAGCGCCACTCCCCCGGCCCCTCACCCAGACGGGGGCCACGGGTGAACATGTCAGGCTCCAAGCCACAGGCCTGGGTGCAGTCCTGACACCTCACCTCACCTTCCCCCCATGTAGTGGTGGTGGGCCAGTCCTGGGTCAGCCGCAGGTACCTCCCAGCCCTAACAGGCTGGAGAACAGGATGCCAGAAAGGGGTGGGGGTCCCCAATGGGCTCAGAACCCTGGGGACAGACGAGAGCAGGAGTGGTGGCCCTGGAGCTGGGCAGACAGGGCTGGGCTGAGTTCTGCCTATTAGCAGTGACGGGAGCTTGGACAAACTGCTTTAACTCTGAGTGTGTTTCACTCTTCGAAACACAGAAGTGATCTTACTTGTCAAAATCACCCTAAGCCATGATTGAAGCAACACATGTGCCCGACCGACAGTCTCAGAGCCACCCGCCCACCCGGACATCCGGGTGGGGGCCCCACGGCAGGTGCAGCCTGTGTTCCGGGCACTCAGCAAGACGCTCCCCAGACGACCTCAGCTAAACCCTGCAGGGAGTCTGCACCCTGGGGCCAGACACCATCGCCGGGTACATGTCGGACCACAACTCACCACCTGCCTGTCCCCGACTCCTCAGCATGACCTGGGCCCCAGTCCCTCCCCCATAGCTGCCACCGTCTTCTCTCTCCATCAGCATAGGCTCACTAACCACTTCCTTTCTTGTCTCTCAGCACTGAACTCGGGGCTCCCCACCACCATGCCGCTGATGCCCCAGACTGAGCAGGGAGTCACTCCAGCGGCCCACCTTCTGCGTGCAGTGCAAGCGCACACCAGCAGTGCGCGGGGTGGGCACACACTCTGTACTTACTGGCTCACTTTATGGTACAGCTTGGCGATGCCCTGGTGGGTCCAGTCCTTCCCGAGGGTGGGCAAAATGTGGCCGAGAGTATCTGATCTAAATAAGGATAGAAATGAGAAAAAGAACATAAACAGGGCATCGCAAAAGGGAAAACACTTGGGTTCCGACTCACAGCACCACAGATGCCTCGTGAAACCGCCCGAGGATGCACCACTTACTTCCTGGACGACAGAGACTAAAGCAGCCACGTGAGGAGGCCCGGGGGAGGGGCCGCGTTAACAAGTCTCCGGGCAAATCTAAAGGGCGCCTGCCGTCTGCCCACGTGCCAAGTCCCTGAGCAGCTGATCACGCAGAAGCCCCCAGAAAGGCGCTCTTCAGAGGCATCCAGGTGAACGACACAAGGAGCCTGCCCCCCCCTGCCCCCCCGGGTGGGAACCACACGCAAGCTCTCCAGGCAGCTGCTGGGTTGAGCAGCAAAGACTCCACGAGCCCAGGTGCCGGCGGCACAGCCCCCAGCACCACAGAAAGAGCACCAGGGTGCTGGCCCCAGACCCAGGGGTCCCGATGAAGGTCAGCCCTCCGGGCCCGAGTCGGCAGACCTACCTAGTGATCGTCCCGTCGATGTCAGAAATGATGACTTTGTCGTCCCAGTTCCACAAGTAGATGGTACCCTCACAGCGGCACGTGCCCTGATACTGCGTGGTGACGCTAAAAACGACGTCGTTGGGGCCGTTCTTCAGCTTCAAGCTTTTCTGGGAAACATGACATGTGCTCTTGAGGGGAAGGCCCAAGCTGAGGGCACATGCCTTCTTCCCAGGAGAAGCAGGTTAGGGTTTTTTGGAACCACCGCCCTCGGCCGCGGAGCAGACCCTTCTTCCCTGTCTTGCTCCAGATGGGGAGGGCCCTCTCCAGGATCTGGGCGACCTGAACCCCAACTCCCCTGGCACAGAGGCCTCCCACTTCCAGGGAGGACGCCAACCTGACCCCGTATTTTGGGGTGAGACTCCTCTGACAGGGTTAACACCTAGACTACCAGGCTCGGCAAAAGGAACCATTCCAGAGCAGGTCGCACTCCCTACTCCGTGGCCAAATGCGCAGGGCCCTGCCTGGGAGACCGTGGAAGAAGCCCAGCATGGGACCACGCTTCCCTACAGAACCACATTTCTCAGTTTTCACACTGGCACAAACTGGAAGCAAGCCGTCTGCTACCAGGCCCAGCCTATGCTCAGAAGCAGGAGGTCGAGGCCCAGGAAACCAACCACACAGAGGCCACCGGACTCCAGGGCTCCCCCAGGTCCCCCGGGCCAGAGCCGCTCACCGCCACGCGGCCGCCCAGGCACTGCGGAGTTGCACTCGTGGTGTGGGTGTCGGCGCCTGCCCATTACCAGTCCCCACTGAACAGCACCCCCTGGGATGCTGGCCACTCGTGGACACAGGGTCCGGGGAAGGAAGGCCCTGACTGAAGCGGCCGTGTGCCCGTGTAGAAGGGGGCACTGTGACCTGTTCTTTCACCTGGAAGACTCCAAAACCCATCACTGGGGCTCAATCTCCCCACTTAGGAGACGCGTCTGAATTAACAAGCATCTCAAAGCGGAAGCACTGAGTCTGGTCTGTGGGTCAGTCGCCCTCGGGGTAAATGAGCTGCCCGGCTGCCTCCCTCGAACAGGGAAACCAGGAAGGAGCCCCCAGGGCTGCGGCACAGACGCCAAAGGGGAGTGGCAGTGAGGAGCTGCCCGGAGGGACGGGCGCCCCTGTTGGGGCGGAGGCACAGGCTCCGGAAGGGCAGCACGTGCCAGGAAGTCCCGTGGGGGGCCGTGCGGAAGGGCGGAGGGACACCCAGACGCCCCACGCGCCAGATCCGGGGGCCGAGCCCTGGCCAGTGCCCACGGACAGGCCGGAGAAGGCTCAGGCACTCACCAGCTGCTCCGACGTGAGCCGGAGGGTCTTCTTGTAGCCGACGCTGGACAGCAGAGGGAGGTGGCTGGCGCTGGAGGGCCTGGCGGCTGTGCGCTCCTCATCACTGGAGGACGACTCGTGTTTCATTCTAGAACACACAGGATGTAACCACCAATTAGGAGAGGCATCAGGGCAGCCATCAAAAACGCATCGGGCCGGAATGGACAGCGGGGTCAACTGGGGCTCTCCTGAGCACCAGGCTGGGTGGTCGTTCCCCTGGGCCCTACGCACGTTTGTCTGTGAGCCTCACTCAGCTGGGCTGCCCCTCCTCCATCGCTTCCTGATTCACTAGCGCCCACGGCACTATTAGATGCCGGGAGGCTCCTCTGCCTGGTCAGCAGGGCCGGGTTCCCGCCTCACCCACAAGCGCGCTCATTCTCTCCCCTGCCCCGTCCGAGGCTGCCAGACAGGCGCAGAGTCCAATCTCTACACGTCTAACCAGTTAGGTCCCTGTACCTGCCTCTCTAACCTACAGCTGCAAACAGTGAGGGCACTCGGGGACTGTCCAAGGGGTACCAGTGAGGACAAGGAAGACTCGCCAAGCCTGCCCCAGAACGCCTCCTGGTGAGGGTCTTCCGGGCTTTCCTAGTTGGTGGGGGTGGGGAGGTGCAGGTGGGAAGTGGGTGCCTTTTCTTTAAGGAGCCCACACAGACCATATCTGATAGTAATTAGTCGAGAACTCTTCTCCGGGCCTCAGTGGCTCGTCTGTAAAATGACATGTTCCCACAAGAGCCCTCTCCTGCTGAGCCCGTGAGCAACACAGGTCCTTCAGAACCCACAGCCCAGAGGTGTCCAGTCGGGGGGGAGGACACAGGCCCTGGGGGCCCCATGAGCACCTGGCCAGGAGCAGAAGACCACGAGGACTACTCATCGAGTCGGGAAATGTCTCCGCCCTGTCCGAACAGTCTGGGGCGAGAGGAGACCCAAACGTGGGCCAGCACGTTCAGGGACAACTGACTGGCGTCTGCCTCCGCAGGGCGCGTGCGGAAGCCACGCAGAACTGCTGTCATTTCCACCTGCCGCTTTGAGAAAAGACCTAAACGCGTGCAGCCTGCCGTACTTGAGGGGACACAGACCAAGACAATAAAATGGAAGCGGCCCAGGGGGCCGGCGAGGTGCAGCTGAGGGCAAGCTCAAGGTCATGTGTGGACCTACCCCCGGCGTGGGACCTACTCCCGCCCAGCCCCCTCCTCCCCGCAGCAGCGCAATTAACGCTGCGCACTTCAGTGCACCTGCGAGGAGCAGCCCCGCGGAGCCGCAGGAACGACACCCGCGTTCCCACTTATCCCGGCGAACATCCCTCAAATGGTATTTTAACGATTTGTACGGTGACAAGCTGTTTGCTCAATTACGAGGCTTCAGGGACTGTTCTGTCGATCAAGTCTGTCAATTAGGAAAACACTCCTACACCTTTTTTTTAGTCAACTGCAGGAGTCTAATTAGGAGACTAAAAGTCTAAGACACCAGTAAAAATTCAAAGATTTACATTTCCAAGAAAGAACTTTGTAACTTCCCAAAATCACGATTCCTTTTCACAAGCGTCATTCTCCGCAGGTCGGGTTGAAGAACTCAGTGTGGCATGGGCGTGGTGGGCTTCCTTCCCCACGGGGAGCCAACGAACTATTTAACCGGGGAAGGCACTTTCACCGGCGTAGACCAGGCTGCACCGGGTAGTGAGCAAATCCAAACGCTTCAGATAAACCGCTCCACCGGGAGAGCTGCGGAGTGTCCCGCTGCTGCGCCCCAGGCCTCCCGGGCCCACGGGAGCAGGAAGAATGAAGCCGTGGAGCCGGGTCCTCTGCCTGCGGGCCCTGCACAGCGCTGACAGTTCCCGTCCCTCTTAACCCTCCTGGAGCCGGGCCCGTCTTCCCCGAGGCCTAGACTGGGGGCTGCGACTGAACACAGCGGACGCCGTGCTGGGACACATCCGAAACTGCTGGGTCGGGACGAGCACGCGTCCCCAGGTCACTCGGCCGCCGCGGGCACACCCCCGTGACCCGGCCGGTTTGGGGTCCAGGCCTCCTTTCTCGCGAGGCCGCTGTGGGGATCCAATGCACCGACGCCTGCAGTGTGGGTGTCACTCTTGTGCCCATTTCACAGGTGAAGGAGGCGACACCCAGGGACTGATGAGGTCACCTCCTCTCAGGTGAAACAAGGTCACGCACAGCTGGCTGACACAGTCCCCGCTTGTGCTGTGGCTCCTGTCTGGACACTGCTGCCAGGACAGGGAGGGTTCTTACTAAGAACCCCAGGAGCGTGGGACGCTCCAAGTGCAGCTGAAGCGCTGGTGTAAACCGCTTCCCACGGGCCGCCGCCGCATCTCTGCCCGTGAACACCACGCCGTCCCTTTGCCCATGGTGAGTAGTCCTACCGGAGCCAGGACCCCAACAGACCCACGTGGCCCCCGGGTCTGCGGCTGGCAGCCACGGCTGCCCCCTCACAGGAGCACACACCAGAGACTGCAGCTCGTGGCCACTCTGCCTCATGCTTGTGGTCCCCCCAAGGGACGGTGCGGGCCTAGCCTGTGTCCATCCCGAACACACCTGCCGCCTCCCCCGTAACACTCCCAAAGCCACACTCAGAGCTCCTGCCGGGAACGGAGGCAAATGATCACACTGGGCGGCCCGCCCGGAGGAGACGCCCAGGGTGCTGGCATCAGGGGTGACAGGGAGCTCTGCCAACCCTGCTCCCTCGGCCACGTGGGTGCGCCCAGGGTCAGGTGGGACGCGCAGGGCCAGGGCGCCACCAGGGAGCACAGAAAGCGTGTCCCCAATAACATCCCTGCCGGGAGCCGGCTGGGCCACTTAACGGTCATCTCCAAAAACAGTTCTATCGGGTCCCACAGGCTCTTCTCCACGGAGAACAAAAGGGAAACCAGACTGGTTCCCACTTGCCGCCCACCTGGGTTTCTGCTTCCAACAGGGAGTCCTAGGAAGGCAACAGTTTTAAGGGGAAGCTCGGGCGGGGGAGGGGTCCGAGGACTTGAACCCCAAGCCCACCTCCACTACAAATCCACACATCGGGGGGATCTCATCCTCTCGGTAGCAGCTCGGCAACACCTCTGTGCCAGGCCTGGCCTGGCCTCCATGGTGCAGAAATGACTGAGATCCGCATCCTGCCTCCAACTAACTTGCTGACGTTCCCGTCTGCCGAGCGAGGAACGCAACCCCACGTGTCTTAAGCACAGAAACTCACAAGGGCAGGTCATGTGTGAAAGGTGTGCTACTCGCTCACTCAGTGTCCACCTGTAGCCTCAGGGTCACTGTCAGTGGGTGATGGCCTGCCCCCAGAGGGGGGTCACCTGAACGCTGAGACAAAAGAAAAACACTGCCCGTGTTGATCAGCGCCGTCTGATCTGGTACCTCCTGTGCCGAGTTCATACGCATCCCCATCGATAATTAGAAAAGTAGCAACTTAAGTCCTGGTAAGTGTTTGAACTACAGAGAAAGGCAAGTTTCTTCAGAAGGGAAACCTATTTCCCTGCCACTGGTAAGGCCACTGTTAATCATCATCATCGTCCTCGTCGTCATCGTCACTACTCCTGTCTCATGCACACTGAGGCTGTCTCGTGCCAAGACCGTGAGAAGTACTCTGGTTACACCGTATCGTTTTTAAGCCCCTCTTTTAGTTGGACATTAGATCTCTGAGGGAGCGACCATCTCCATCTGATCAGTGGGAAACCAAATTAAGCCAATTGCCCCCGTCACTGAATAAATGACAGGGGCAGGGCTGGGCCCCAGGGCTGCCACCCCGGTCCACCTGGGTCCAAGGGCCATTGGGTCTGGTGAACACCACGCCACCAGCGTCTGCCAGGCCCGTGCCACGGGCTTGGACACAGGGAGGAGCTGCCATGCCCCGAGACGACTTGCACTGTACCTGGTGGCCATGCCGAGCTGTGACGGCTGCTCCCCGGTGCTGTGGCTCTTGCCAGCCAAGCACTGCTCTGGCTTACTTTCCTGGAGAAGGAGAGAAAGAGTCAGGGACGTACCGAAGAGACAGCTGGGGGTCCACCATGGGCTCCCCAGGCTCAAGAGCAGGGTCCAAGTGCCTTCCCCGACAGCACACCCCCCAGCCCCTCTCCTCCAAAGTACACAGTTCAGCTGATCAATACACGTGGCAGAAGTGAGTCTGCTTCCCCACAGGTGTTCATGGCACCAGACCAAACCTCACAGCCACCGTAGCGCCATGTGAATGTTCTATCAGGTACCCCACTTGGGTACCTGAGGGCTTCCAAAATGTAACTGCTGACAGAAGTGCCTGAAAATATTTTCACCCCGTACTTTGCTTGGGAAAATGTGGACGCCTTTTCTCTGTCTCACATGCATTCTTTTCCGAGAAGAAGCTCCTCCGCTGTGCGGACAGGAGCTCCGGACCCCCAGAGATCGGGCCGGCCCCGCTTCCCTCGCTTGGGATCCGGGGCAAGTCGAGGGACCTCTCGGCCTTGCTTCCCCCTGGAAACTGGCTGAGCTGCTGCTGCTGCTGCTCCTCCTCCTCCTCCTCCTCCCCCTCCCGCTGCAGGGAAAACTGTGCGGTAGCTGCCCCAAACACAGCAGCGGCGCCCACGGCCTCACGGGCCAGGAAGGCCTTGAGGTCAGAGCTGAAGGGCGGAGGATACTCGGTTCAATCTCACTATTTGTGGTCATTTGCTCCGGAGGTAAACTAATGTTCAACATGTTCATTTAAAAAAATAAGCAATATAAACAGGGTGACCAGCTTAACATATGATGAGTACTAAGTATTTTTAAAATATCCTTCAGCTTTTCTAAAGTGTACAAATAATTGGTGTAATAACACTCCCAGTGATTTTTAATCTATTTACTGAGACAGGCAACTTAGCTCCTACTATTTACTGAGCTTTGTCGGACTAGCTCAAAATATATGTGTATCCATCTGAAATAAATACGTGTTTTTAGAAATACTTAATTTCATAACAATTCCTTATTTCATTCTGGCATTCTCCTCAATCCAAACTGGTGAGAAACTGGATATTCTACAATAAGTAGATCTTTGACATAGCTTTCTGCCTAAATTCTAGAACATTCTGCCCTTGAGTAAGGGAACTAGAAAGGCCCTCTACGTCTCTTGAAGTATGTTTGTCCTAACATGTTTAGATCCCTTGGAAGTAACAGAACAATCAGTAAAACTCAACTATGCTGACAAAGAGCGTCAAAGAACAGTTTTACCCTGGTACAATCTTTCCAACAGACTTTTTCCCTTTGAACTAATAAATAAATAGCTCACTGGGGTTTCTTTTACTTTTTTTCCTTATGCTTACCTGAGGACATGCTTGTTAATTTTTAGAGAGAGGAGAAGGGAGGGAGAGAGGGAGAGAGACATCGACCCGCTGCCTCCCACACACGCTCTGACCCGGGACCGAACCCTTCAGTTCAGACGATGCTCCGACCCACCGAGCCGCACCGGCCAGGGCTCTTTTCCTACCACAGTAACCAATGAACAGTCGTCCCTGGGTTTCTTCATGCTACATTCCAAAAGTAGTCAGCATCCCCTCAACGAACACTTCCCAAACCCCTGCTCTGGGTCCAGTACAGACACCAGGGCTACCCAGGGACCAGAGAGCCACACACGGTCTCGGCCTTCATGGAGTTCAGGGTCTGGAGGGTGAAGATGCTGACCGAATACTCACACTGATATGTGTGCAGTTACAAACTCTGACAATTCACGAAGGACCAGCCTGGTCCGCCAGCTGGTTGAGTGAAGGGGAATGAGAAGGGTCCTCCAAGCACTGGGCAGAGAAGGTACCACATGCAAAGGTCCTGGGGTAGGTGAACTCTCAGCCAGTGAAGCCGAAGGTCAGAGGGCAGAGGGAGAGCTGCAGAAGATGAGGCTAAAGAGGGAGGTGGGGACTGGGGTCCCCAAGGCCTGTGACCATGGTGAGGATACTGGTCTTCAGTACAAGAACCCGGGGAACCCACTGGAGGGTTTAAGCAGGGAGCAACATACACTGGGCCAGGGTCCCGAATAGAACAACGCGTCACAGTGCCGAGAATGAAGAAGCGAGGACAAGAATGGATAAAGACGGTTCGCTTGGAACCAATTCTGGGAGGGAAACCGGCCGCCCGGACGTGTGGGAGTGAAGGTGGAGAAAAGTGGAAAACCCGAGAAACCCCTAGGATGGTAAACTGGCAGGACCGGGTGACAGACTGACTGTGAGAAAAAGGAAGTGACCAGCCTGCAGGTGGCCAGTGGCACCATTTTCGGACCACGGTCCGGTGAAGAATTCACAGGGAAATTGTATTAGAAACGACAAGTTCGAGGCGTCTGGAAGCAATCAAGGCGGGGTGTCTCCGAGGTGGCTACTTGATACGTGGACAGAGGCATCAGAAATTGTCTGCTCTGGAAATAACAACGGGTCGTCCCGTGGGGGAGCCTGCCGTGGGGAGCGTGGGCGATCGAAGCAGAAGAGAAGACGCCGAGACCACCCCTGAGAAGCCCTTCCGGGGCACTGAGCAGAGGAGGAACGCCAGGTGGCCACGGTGGCGTGGGGACAAGGAGAAGGCTTCGAGAAATGGGTTGAGGGGGAGACAGAGATCTGAAGACAATTCCAGGCATTCACAGAAATGCCACCAACGTGAGAAGACTAATGAGAGTCAGTCTGCAGCTCTAAGCATAGAGCTGAAATCATCCTCACAAGCGGAAGGAAAATATTTAACTTAAAAAAAAAGAAAAGTGAACTATCGGGTTGAGTCCCTTCGTTTCACAGACGAAGCAGCATTCCAGGGGAGAGTGCCATGACCATGGCCGCCGGGCTAGGAGGCAGCAGAGCCGGCGGTGAGCCGGTCCCGGCCCGGCCTCCCAGACCGCACACCCCTCCACCTCCCGCACGCCCCGTGATGCCACCCTGCCTCACGGCGGAGCAGGTCCCCGCTCCGGCTGACACTCCTTTCCCTGACACGAGAGCTGAGGAACTCCTCCAGATTCCCCGAGCTGAGTCCGGCGCTCCTGTGCTGCCCGTGCTCACCTCCTTGATTGTGGTGTTTCTTCCCCTCCACGAGAACCACCATCTTCCTCCCTTTCTGGGCATCTTATCCCTCATGATGGATTCCACAGTAGCCTGTTTCAAATGGATGGTAACATAAATAATGGAACCAAAAAAAGATCAACGTTGCACATTCAAACCAAAAGACGCACACATGCAAATTAAAGTAAGATTTAACAAAAAAAAAAAAAAGAGAAGATGCAACATACGATTTGTGAATTAAAAAACTTTGAAAAGCAAAACCTAATGGCATCCAAAATTACAGTAAGGTAACTTAAGCATGAAGACTTAACAAGATGTTAAAGGAATAAACAAACAACAAAAAGATACAACAACAGAAAAAGAAAGCATTGAAAATCATTAGTGATTAGTAGGACCGGAGTTTTCAAATTAAAGTGGCTTACTAGTTAGGACACTGTTACTCTCAATATAAAATAAAACATGAAGTGACTACTACGGGATACAGGGTAAAAATGGGCAAGATGTTTTCAGTAAACGTACATTTCTAAATTTTGACAAACTGAACATTAATAAATGCATTTAAAATATCAAGTGTAGAAATATTCATACTCTTGTGGGAGAAGATTTAATATCAACTAATAATTTTCTAAGTATTTCCAAAGAGCAAAGTATCCATCTTAAAGCTGATTCCCTGGCCCAAGGTCACTGTTATCTCATTTTTCTTCCTTGGTTCATAGAACTATCACGTAGCAGCTGACGCATCGGCTGGCAATGACTGAAAGATTTACTCTTTCAACCAAACAGGCTGCCACTGAGTGGAAAGGTAAGTAATTCACATATTCGGCCCGAAGTGTGCTTCTTTTTATCGTTTAAAACATCCCCGCCTGACACGGACACACCTGAATACACTAAAATGCACGCAATGCAAACCACACCCACACCCTCTGCACAAACGGGGCCGCCCAGGAAGATGTCAACCCCCTGCTCCTCCTAATTCATCCAGAAATGGGTTAAAACCTCAATTAAAAAATAAATAACCTAACAGGATTATTGTCTAAAGTCCACAGGAAAAACAAACAAAAATAGCCGAGAAAATCCTCAGAAGAGTGATAGGAAGACGTGAATCCTTACTAAGCAGGACAGCGCATTGAAAGCCAGAGTGGTTTTTTAAAACGCAGCTGGTACACGGGTAAACACACTAATGAAACCAAAGGCCAAGTTCGGAAATAACCTGCATTCACAGAGAGACAGACACAGGGATGATGGGACTGCAACCGCCTGTCAGTGGGGACGAGAGGTGTCACCCAATGAAAGGTGCGGGGACGAGCAGGCAGCTGCCACCCCTTTCTCACTTTCTGGCCCACACGTCCAAAACGCTGCTCAGGAACCAGGCTGCAGTGCTTTCCAGAAAACGAACCCCAATTGGTCCACAGCACTCACAGCCGTTCCAGTGTTTCCCCAGCTACGGGTTGGGAGGTGATCATGTGAACAAGCTGTGGCCAATGAAATGCCTCCAACCCTCCCACTTGGATGTGGTCCTGTAAGCGGACGGGCAGAACGGTCGCCTTGCGATCATGAAGGGAAAGCCAAGAAAATCACAGAGAACTAACCCACATTCATCCAGCCGGGAACGCCCAGCCTCTGCGATTCTTCCTACGTGTGCAAATAAACCCCCGTCATCTATAGGAGCCGCTGGTGGTCACTGTCTCCTGCACCAGAGCACCCTGATTCAACGACCAGCTGCAAAAAAGAGAGTTGGGTCCTGTTACCTCACCCCTTGCTCTCAACATCAAATGTCGCCGTGTCAAAGACTTAAGAATGTACTACAGGACAGAAGAGACAGGGCACATTTTCACAAGTTTTGGAAGTGAGGAAGCAGGGCCATTCCAAGTACGGTACAAAACCCGACCGCCGTACGAGACTGACAGATTCTACATGTAAATATAGTTCTGTATTAGATAAACACCATAAGCAGTCAAAAAAAAACTGCCAACACACTTGTAAAAAGATTTAGGATGTGTATCATGAAGTCTTTAAGTTTACAACCCAAAGGTATTTCCTTTTCTGTAAACCAAATCCTTTTAACGATATTTCCATTGCACTGGTCTTTTCTCTTATTAATGTGTAAGAGTGGAAACGTGTAACATAACAATTTGTCCCAGGCCATGGATACCGCAAGGAACCCGGCAAGAAAAACAAAAACCACCCAGGAAAGCAGGTCCTCCACCCAGTGCACAACATGCACAGATAACGTACGCCCCAAAAAGGGTCACAAGCCCCAAACACCAAAACACAGCAACACACACACGAGAAGGAGCAAATGCGTTCATCACAGTCCGACAGCCCTTCCAGTCCCTCGGACACCAGGGTTACCCGACAGACGGCAGCATCAAAGCAGCACAGAGCACGTGCCACGTGCACAAAGGACCAGAGGAGTGTGTGGTCCAGTAGGACACACACTGGAAACAGGAACAGTTCCAGGCTGAGCATTCCCGACTCTCCAGGGGGGGGGGGGGGGGGATGACAGCACAGTGGCTGCCTCGGTGCATCTGACCTCTCACCCTGCGTCTCCCTCAGCCCCTCGCCTACTGTCCCCTGCAGCCTGGAGTGCCCGGGCTCTGCCCTGGCTCCTCCTCTGCCCTGCACACCTGAGGCCGCTTCCTGGCAGAGCGACACCGGAACTGGCACCGGCACCTGAAGCCTGCTGTGCTGCAGCCCCTCCCCTCGCCATCCCCGGGCTGGGGACACCCCGGCGTCCGTCCACTCCACCCCCACCTGTGTCCCTAGCACAGTGGGCGTTGGGAAAGGAACCCAGGGGGAGGCAGGACTTGGTCTGGCACCCCCACGGTTGAGAGGTTTGCCTTGATGAGCAAAACGGGGAGGACATTCAAGGGGCACGAGAAATGGATTCAAAAGCCCTGACGCTGATGCGCAGGAACTTCGAAAGAGCACAACGTAATTAAAATAAAACAAAATCTAAACACTGCACCCACCCAGATTAACCCACCCTCCATTTTCAGTGCCCCCCCCCCTTCTTTCTCGTGCTGACGCTCACCTTTGGCAAAGGCTTCTGAAAAGCTTGCATGGCCAGAAGCAGAGGAGCCGCCGTGGTCCAGTTATAGTACCTGACACGAGACAGTGAGACAACTGTCAGACCAAGGCTCAGACTGAAAATCTCACAGCTTGAGAAGAGGTCATGGAAAGTTCTGGAACTGCAGTTGGATCCGTGAAGAGCCCAAAACTGTTGCCAACATCCCCGCCCTCCCCCGCACATCCCACCCTGCTGTGGCCACACGGAGGCACCAAGCAGCTGTCCAGGCGGCAGCACGTTCGGAGGTAGTGGGAGACCGCACAGCCGCTGGAAGGCGGCCAGAGGCCCACGGTGCACCAGGCCACCCACACGCTGGTGGCACTGCCTGCCACACTTCCAGGAAAAGGCCACCAGGCTCCCTAACTTCCTGGGTAAACATCTGTGACCACCTCTCAGAGAGAAAAGCTTGCCAACAGTCTACCGAATGCCGGCACATCCCTGGACACCCCTTCAGCTTGTCTGGGGGACCTCAGGTGAGGACACTGTCCAGGGTGGACACGCAGTCTCTTCAGGTTCCACTGTAAAATCTAGCACCAAGGCCATGGAAACCCACAGGCTCAATGCTCCCATCCAGCTAACAACTCTAGGACACCACGGTTACTGCCAATGGGGACTTGACAACAGTACATTTTAACAAAGACATATATAAACATATAAACGAATTTCCAAAGTCCGTCGTCTAGGTCTCTGTATTTGAACACCTGACGTGAAATGGCATCACGCCACTGCGAGTGACTCTCAGAGAAACTTACTTATTCCCGATCTTCACCACGAGATTGGGGTCATCGATGAGCGCAGGGTTGTCCGAAAACTGTTGATACGACACAGCTTGTTCCAAAAACGCCTCTGGGAAAGCAATCGTGGGGGGCAGGGGAAGAGGTGAGGAAAGGCTGGTTGACAAAGTCAGGCCTGTTTCCACTGGCTCCTGGTCCCAGGTAAGTCCCCTGAGTTCGTACACTGCACCTGTGTGGCAGTTCTCCAACTGCATTAGTGCAGGAACTTCAGTGTGTTTGGGGGCAGCGTCCACACAGAGTGAGGGGAGCCCGGGGTGGACCGAGGGGTGGGGAAGTGTCTCCCTAGTTGGGGTGCAGACGTGGGAAGGACAGGAGCGTGGGAAACACCATCTGTGTGTGTCTCCAAGGCTGCAGGTGAACGGTAAGCAGGGCGCGGAAACCGGGTGGCCTGGGTTGAAGTCACACTTACTGCTGTGACCTCAGGCAAGTGGTTAATGTCCCCACACCTCAGTCCCCTCATCTGTCCCAGGGACATCCCTCCTTGGGCGCTGTGACGGTGGAAGAGGCCATGAATAAGAGGCAGTGTCCTGCATAAAGCAAGGGCTCTCTCCATGTGGGCAGGCGGGGCTCTGGCCAAGACCACCTGCTGGGGGTGCAGAGGCCCACGTGAGGTCCACGTGAGGCCCACCCGCTGCTGCCGCCCCGCTCACACCAGAGCTGGCAGGAAGGCCCGGGGTGCCTTTGTTGGCCGCCATCAGGCTGATGGGTTAGCAGGTTCGGGACCAGCATGCAGGGCTCTGGTCTCTGTGTAAGAAGTAATTCCCAAAGCCACGAAGGGACCTCAGGATGGAGAGAGGGCCCAGACGGCACCTCAGTCAGGAAGGCAGTCATGAGCGGCAAGGGGAAGAGAAACAAGACCAGACCACAGTGGGAGTGGGGGGTGGTGGGGGTGGGTAGAAGAGGGACACCCAGGTCTTCCGAGGGAATCTGTCAGGTGGTACTGGCTGGCCGCACCGAATCACTTCATGAATGTGATGAATGCTGTGAGTTCATTCACCCCCTAAGCCAACACTAGGAGCACCCTCCACGGCCAGCTGGGAAGTGTCCCTGGACTCGCCCAGAGGTCCCCCCGCCTCCAAGATGCCACAGCATTTGTGCACCCCTCCAACGCACTGTGTCCTCACTGGCTGCAGGCCCCTACACCTCTGCAGGGCTGGTGTGGGCCACGGAGACACACACCAGGCACAGCAAACACGCCTGACAATGAGTGACCCCAATGAACTCACTGCCTGAAGCTGCGTGTGAACCCCAGAACCCTAAGGTCAGCCAAGACAGGCCACCAACGCACAGGTCATGAACAACAGCGAGTCACCGGAGCTATCGGGAACCCAGAGAAGTGAAAGCAACTCCTGCTGTGAACCAAGTCCAGCAGCCCCAGCTCCTGGGCATTCTGACCAGCTGCCACAAGAGGGTGCTCTTGGCTTGAAGACCAGCTCCAAAGCCCGAGGTACCTGTGGTTATCTCCCTGTTGTCACTGAGGCCACCGCAGAGGGAGATGGCGATGGATGGCAGGTCCCTCAGGCCGTCAGAGGTGCTCTCCACACCACTGTCAACGCCGGAGCTGCCCACGGACTGCGGGGACTGATTGGCTGACCGGGCCCCGTTGTCCGCGTGCTTGGGGAGCCCGGCGGGATCTCCACTGGAAGGAGGAAGAGGGGCGGGTGGTCTGAGGACTTCCCTGATCCTGGGTCTCACAGAGACACCAAATGACCCCGCAGAGCAGCAAAGGGCTTCATCTCGGACGGACGTTTCAATAAAGCACCGTGAGAAGCCAAGTGAAGGGAATGAGTTTGGGAGAGAATACAACCGTCTGCCTGTCGCACCTCCTCGTCCCCCCTGCCAGGCCCTCGTGGAGAGAACTGAAGAGACCGTGCTCACTTAAGAGGCCACAGCTCTGGGCTTGTAGTCACCCCGCAAACCCCGGGAGAACTAAAGATGTGCCCAAGGCCACAGGACACCCTGTCCTGGGGAGAAAGAGCCATACAGATGCCACTCTGGGCACTGGCCACAGCAACACAACCTCAGTGTCATTAGGAGCCACATCCCTGCGTGGGGGCCCCTGCTCCAAAGGTGCAGAGCCCCCCGGAGACACGCCCAGCCCTGTACCCTGTCTGCAGAGAAAGTCCACCGTTTCCACTGCCTGCTCCTCCCAGTGAAAGGCGGGCCCTCCTGCTGCCTTTTCCCACCTTCTAATCAAATAGCAGGGAAAGGAAACTTGCACAGGCTCCTACTCAGGGAACAGAAAGGGACATGAAGAATAGAAAGAAACCTTACTTCTTGGGGAAATACAGGGCAGCCACCTCGGGGTCCATCTCCGTGAGGTCATCCAGGTAGACGCCATCTGCACCGAGGTGCCTGCTTCGTTTGTCTGCGGGGGCACACGGGGCACATCAGAACGCCACTCCTCCCGAAAGGAGCCGTGGACCTCCCAGGGCCTCCAGAAAACACAGCACTGCGCACACCTGAGCTCGGAAGGGCCCAAACTGGCCCCACCCAGAGCCCCACCCTCAGAGGCCTGCAGCAGAGCGTTACTGGAAGGGCAGGCGCCCTGGGCTGCAGGCGATGCCATCGCTCGCTGACCGTGTGACCTGGACTGATTCATGTGACCGCGCCTCACTGCCTGTCTGGAAAGCGTACTCCCTGCACTGAGGTGGTCAGCATCGTCATTACTAAGCGACGTGCTCTCATCCGGCCCAGTACGCCGGGAGCACAGCACCCACAGGTGCGCTGGCTGCGGACCTGCTCGCCTCCGGCAGAGAACCACATCTCTGGGTGCCAGGCTGGTACGAAGCTGACCGGCCGACGGGGTAGGGTTGACATCATCACCCTGACGTGCAACCAGATGTGCACTAAGTAGGGCTTATGGAGAACCCACTGTGTGCCAACCACTCCTGAAAGCAGCGAGGAAACAAAGGTAAACTAGACCAAGAGTCCTGACCTCATGGGGCACTTAGGTTCCACTGGGGCGTCGGCGAAGCCAACAAACACGTGAGCATCTGAAATGTGGTACCCCATCTGCGCAGCGGGGCGCAGCGCCCCCAACTCCGGCGCACCTTTTTTCCTGGAAGGCGACTCGGTCTTGCTGGCCATGGCGGGCAGGGCTCTGGCCTCCTCCGCGGTGGGCGGGGGCGGGGCCGCGGCTCCCAAGGCCTCCGCGTCCTCCTCGTTCACAAACTGCATCTCCGTCTGGGACTTGCTCTGCTCTGACAGCGGCTGCCCAGGAGGCGCAGCAGTTGACGTCGGCGACTGATCACTAAATGCATCGGAAGATTCACTGTGAATGGCCTGAAAGTGCATTTTCTCACACATTTTCCTGCTGCTCAGTGGGCTGGAATCTTTCGTCTTGTGTGGCGAAGTCTGCACCAAAGGGGCAGGAAGAGAGAGGGGCAGGGGGTCAGAGCACAGGCAAACAGGAAAACCGAGTTAACCAAAGAACCACACTGAGCCAAAAAAAGGATCTGCTGGACTGTCCACACTTGGCAGGAGACGCCTAAGCCTGGAGAGTCCCGTGGTAGCTTCCACATCTGCCAAAGCAAAGGAACTTTGTAGGGAATGTCCACTGGCAAGGAGAAGTGAGATGAGGAATGGCCAGCAGGTGGCAGCACCCCACCCGCCCGTCAGGAGAGCGGTATACAGTACATCCACGCACAGTGGGGGATTTTGCAGCAACAAGAACAAAGGAGTGGCAATTAATACAACTACGTGACGAAGCTCGCAAAACCAATCTCTGCTGTTGGAGAGTCGAGATCACGTCTATCCCTGTGGAGGGTCAGCGTGAGCAGTAGCTGCCAAGGGGGAGGAGGCTCCCCAGTTGGTCCCGCTTTGTGGCCTGGGTGCCGGTTACATGGACACGTGGGAAAATGTATTGCCCTATGTACACACTGATGAACTGCGCATTTCCATGTACTGTACTTTGCCATGTATAATGCTCACTTTTTTGCCCAAATTTTTTAGGGAGAAATAAGGCTGTGCATTATACGTGGGTAGTACTAATTCCATATCTATGCAAATGTTTTTAATTTTTATTTATGCTTATGTGTTAAAAGCATAACTCTAAAAAGCAATAATGATATCCATATGCAAATTAATGCCCTAGAATGCGATAATAATTTTTCTTCTAAATATAAATAAGGAAATATATTGAATTAAAACAAAAGATTTTTTTCCTGAAAGTTTGGGCCAAAAATGCGGGTGCACAGTGTACACGGGAGCTCATTATATACGGCAAATACAGTGTGTATGTGTATTTCACCCCCAAAATATGAGTGAATGAGTACAGATGTATTTGGAGGCCGGTTCACATGAGCGGGAAATTAGCATTTCTGATCCTGCCTCTCCAAGAAGTTTCCAGTTACAGGAAAGATTCACTGAAACAAAAACTGAAATGCACCGTGCCCATCAGGTCAGGACAGTGAGAGGGCGTTCACCATTGGCTCCCAGGCCAGTGGTGGGGCTGTGGGTGGGGCTTCGTCCGAAAGCGGTGGCTCCGCACCTCCGTGCCGCTTCCTAGCAACCAGGGGCGTGGATTTGTGAAGAGGGTTGGCTGGGTCAGCGTGACAACTTGTGGGCAGAGAAACCAGCATTTTCCATGAAAGCTAAATAGAGCCTAAAAAGGGCATGAATCCCCAAGGTCGGCGTCCACAGACCTACTCTCTGACGAGCTGCCCATGTTGACACTTAACAGGAACACTTTCCACCCACCCCCACTCACTCCTCCGCTCTCTCGTTTGGATGGTGAACACTTAGTGGGGATGCAAGAGGCTGTGGCATCTCCAAGGGCTTTATAGTAAGAAAAGAAAAAAAACCCTGAAACATAGTAATATAATTCAAGATTGTAAAATACAGCTTCTTGAAATAAAAACCCCGAGTCCGTTTCACGGCTTTAAAAACTGCCCTCGGTCCACGGCAGGAACCCAGGTTCCGGGGAAACCACGTACTTTCGCAGCCTGCGGCAACTCCCCCCAGAGCCAGAGCATTTCCAGGTTGTTCTTCTGTGACGTCCTCTCCGCGGACTTGCCGACCAGCTCTGAGTCACTTTTGGGTGTGGAAGGTCGGGACCCTGAGGGACTTAACAAAACACAAACCTGTGATTAAAGTGGGAAGGCAAACTTTTTTTTAATGTTTTTGGCCCAGAATTAATATGGTTCAAATAGCCCAGAAAATGCAGCCAAGTCACCATTCCCTGCAACAGCGATCTTCAACCTTTTTTCATCTCATGCCACATATAAATGAATTACTAACATTCTACAGCACCTCCAAAAAAATTATTTTTGGCAGATCTCACCAAAATACGTATAATTTTGATTCATTCACACCAGACAGCTATTGTCTGGACTGTTGTCATTTTTCTATTTGACAACCTGAGGGAAAAGAGGTCAGTGCCCTGACTAGAGTCAGGTGTTGCGTGTTTTACACGTTCTTGCAGCGCACGGGGTGAAAATCGCTGTCTTAGGAGCACGGCTTCGTGGCATGTCCCTCTGTGGCCATCAGGGGTCCACAGGACACCCGTCCAGGGGGAAGGCGCCCCCAAGGTGGGTGCCCTGGTCCCAACCTACTGCCAAACTCCAGGTAGAAAGGATGAGGAGTAGCATTAAAAGGGGAAAATTGAAAGAGAGAGACAGATGAAAAGAAACAGGGAAAAAGAGAGTTTTTCGTTACTTCACCACCAGCCACCCCCTGCCCGGCCCACTCCGGGTGCAGCGCCGCTGCACGCCCAGCTCCCAATTGCTCTCCCAGGCACTGCAGGGCCCCGGCCGTCGCTGACATGTGCCCATTCTATTCCACACTTAAAATACAGACTCGAATCCACACTGGCTTTGAAAAGAGGAAATCGCATCATGTGCCAACTTTACCACAAATGCCAGATGCCACCAAACTCGCAGCCCGTCACCTGCCAACAGTCATCAACTCATCGACAAAATCCTCACCGCATTCTAAATACACAGAATGCCCCTTTCATCACTGCTTGTCTCTTCTCCTGCATCCTTTCCTCCAGAGTAAGACGGCAGTTTGCAAGTACAGCCAGAAACAGAGCTGCCCCAGGTTCCTCTGCAGTGTGCCGCCTCCCACCGATGCGCCTGACCCCGTGCCTGAGTCAGAGTCACTCCACTAGGAGTGCAGCCTTCCTGTCGGGGCGAAGGGGGCTCGTGGATGAGGCGTAACTCGGATCAAATCCAGACCCTCAGTGGCTGAATGGACCCTGGTCGTCCTTATTCAAGCCACTGGGCCCGAGCGGACTGAACCTGCTCCCCTCCCTCCCACTCTGAGAGGCACAAGGGCTGCTTCTTGCCCCCAAGGTGCCCGCCACCCTCCATCCATCCACATGACAGGGCGCTGTGCCAGTCCATGGAGATGAGATGAGGGTCCTGAAATGGCATGTCGTGAGAGCACATAAAATGGGGCATGCCCCCCAACATGCGCCCTTTCCTGCCCACCAGGAAGGCGTCCGTGAGCAGGAACGCGAAGACCGCCACACACCTGAGTGCACAAGGGTCACCACCTCCCAACCTCTCTGCTTCCTCCAGCTCCGCCATGATGCTTTTCTCCAAAGGGTCATTGCTATTCTGGTGCTGCGTGTCCGCAACTACACGTTCAACTTCCGTGAAGCCTGCACAGGGAGCACTGTGGCCTTTGTACCTACAGCTGTGACCTGAGGCCACACACCCCCCAGGTCCTCATGGGAGACGACCTCCCACCCTCTTCAGCGCTGCAACCGAGCCACAGGTCACCTGTCTAAAAAGCCCCTACACCATTCATTGTATTGATCGTACAGAATAGAGTTTATATAACCTTTGTTATTACAACTTCTTATAGATTCTGTGAAATAACTGGTCTCACCCACTGCCACTAAATTAAGCAAAGCCCTTGGGGCTGAACTTGCTCTGGAGTGCAAGGGAGGGGGTCAGCAAACTTTTTCTGTAAAAGGCCGGAATGCCAAGTATTTCGGGCTTTGTGGGCTATGCGACCTTCGTCACAGCTACTCAACTCTGCCATCAAAGAGGGAAAGCAGCCAGAGTCAGTGTACAAACAAGCTGGCAAAGCCCCCGTAAACCTTCAGAGAAGCAGATGGTGGGCCAGATTTGGCCCCGGTGCTGTGTGTGGTTTGCCAGCCTCTGCTCTGGAGGATGTAAATGCTGAACGCAGTTCCAGAGCACGTCCCAACTCCAGATTCCTGAACGTTCCAATCCTTCCACAAAAAGCCACAAGGTGGCCAGAGGCATTCAGGTTTGCAAACACAAGCTCCCAAAGAAGCGAGCCCCACGGGAAAGGCACGGACAAGCTGCACGTCCTCCCTCTCCCCTCTCCCCTCTCCCCTCTCCCCTCTCCCCTCTCCCCTCTCCCCTCTCCCCTCTCCCCTCTCCCCTCTCCCCTCTCCCCTCTCCCCTCTCCCCTCTCCCCTCTCCCCTCTCCCGGCACTGCGCCACCACAGCCGCGTCGGCCTTTCTCAAAGGAGCCTGCACCCACCCACACACGCTCACACACTCAGACGCTCACTCCGGCTGCTTGCTGGGCGTGCACCTGAAGCTGAGTTAGTCAAAGACTCCCAATTCTGCATGTGAATGATGAGAACAATGATCCAAAGTTTCCCACAGCCACACACAAGGCTGTTGTGATCAAGGGTTGCTCCAAAAGACAAGCTCACAAGGGCGCTGACCAGTTTTCCTAAGGAACGCGCTCATTCACCCTACAGCCGTGCAGGATTCCTGCCAGTCCTGGTCAGGCGCTCGGACGTAACTGCTCACAGCTCAGTTCACCTCATTTTAAAATGGCCTTTCTCCTGTACACATGCCCTCAGAATGAAGTGCACCCTGAGATTTGGTTCTTTAATCAAAAAGAAAAATAGTTTCCCATCTAGAAATTAATCATAGCTTCCTTCACTAAAGTTCTGAAGTTAACCCCACAAGTCCACCAAGCTGGGCTGCAGGGCAGTGTGGGCAACCCCCAGGGGACAGCGCAGGAATTGGAGACCACTGCCCCGGACAAGAGAACAGACCGATGGCCCCCAACCCTGGGGTCCATCCTAGTCCGTCCTGTTCTCCAAAACTCTGTTCTAGAAATGCTGACAGCTGACGCCATTATTCAGAAAGCTTAATAAGCCATTTAGATAGTTATAATAACCTCTGTTAAAAAGTGATATCCTAAAAAAAAAAAAATCTTGTAAACTTAGTCGCGGAACAACCCCAAACGAAGAACAAAAGATCATATTCCCCAGTCGTCTTTCATTTTTCTATTTTCAAAGCACTTCCCAGGATTAGAAAAAATTAGATCTCAACCATAATTCCCAGAGAGTCAAAGTTAGTACTTGAAAAAGAATTTACAAGTGTTTAAAGTGAAAGCAGAACAGAATACATATTTTTCATCATAAGTAATTTGATTAGTTAGTAAAATAGATTTGTGAGAGTTAGATCCAAATTTTCACTTCACAGACTCCGTATGCATTTGCTGCGTAAGTGATTTTGGTTAGTGGTGAGACAGATTTGTAAGGATTCAGTGGAACATTTCGTTATCGAAGGGGCCGGGTGGGGAAGTGGCCGCTACCTTTCCGAAGCGAGGGGGAGGAGGGACGGCTGCAGAGGGCAAGAACTAGAAAGCCCTCCCTCGACCACGTCTGCCAGGCAAGGGGGGCTCCTTGTGCCGTCCAGCAGGCTCCTGGGGGCCGCGTGACACACATTGAGAGGAAAAGAGATGACAGGTCAATCAAAGGGAAAATGAAAGTCCACGTAAACCAAGGACCGCTCTCAACGGTCCCGTTTGTAAGAAAATGAGTGTTACTCCGGCAACTGACAGCGGCAGACGAAGGGCTGAAACCACTAGGGAATCAACATGAGCTTCCTTAACTGCAAAATCAGGGAAAGCTTCCTGAAGACAGAAGTTTTCATTCGTCTGCCCGTAAAAGACTGTTTGCCCCTGGTCAGGATTTAGTGCTCTGCCCAGTCTCTGGAGTTAGCGGTTTGTTTGTGCTGTCAATTGTCTTTTTAAAGAAAAGGAATACATAATTCCAAGTAGGGAAATGACCTATTTACCTTAATTTGTAATTGCATTTGACAGTGGTCAGATCTACATAACCTAACATGGCCACCACTCTAGATTCACAGAGTGAACTGTGAAAGACTGAGAAAACCTCTTTGGGGTTGTGTTGGAAACATTTAGTTTAAACTCTTTAAATTAATAAGGACTGTGGAGCAGACTTTTCAGCCTGTTAGTGGTCTCCACCCACCCCACACAGTCTGCTCCTGAAGTGCCGTGTCTCTCCCTCCTGGGGTTCTCTGGAAAGATGTCACGCACATGACAGGACAGCCACCGGCTGCAGGGGACCGCTGAGCATGTGACATATGACTAGCCCACACTGGCAAGTTCTGTGCGTGTGACACATGTGAGACAGCTCATCATCAATGTGCGTAAAAACGGACTCCTTGAAATGCCACTTTGGATACGCTGGGTCGAATCTAATGTAACATCAGACTTCACTTCACCAGTTTCTTTCCACTTTTCAGGGTGGCTGCTGGAAACCGTGACTTACGCCTGGGGCTGGCACTAAGTGTCTGTGGGACACAGCCGTCTCTGGACCAGTCCAGGCCCCGGCCCCACCCGGGGGACCGACGGTCTTTGTGACAGTCCCGCCTGCACCCAGGCACTCAGACCGTCTCGTCCTCTCTGACCGCAACCTCAGCACACCCTGCTCCCTGTGCGGTGTCACCGACGAGGCACCAGGACACAGAGCGCAGGGGAAGGGCTGCAGGCACAGGCCGGAGCTCGAGGGGGCTCCTGCATGTCCATTTCAAACTGGACGTCCATCCACCATACTCAGAATAAGAACCACCCTAGGGCGCTGCTCACTGTCACTTCCATCGCCATTTCTCTGGCCCTTTCCATGGCCACACGCTCCTGAGCATGCTGGGACGCCCTCCCTTCACCAAGGAGTTTCCTCCCACCACTACACTGGGGACCCAGTTCTGTGCCGTGGCTCATTACAGGCCACAGACCAGCATAAGGCCTGAGGTGGGTTTTGCCACCCACGAGCCAATTTTCGTGCCGATGGGCTGCTATCGCCCCATCGAGACGGCACGACTTAGATGTGCCCCTCCCCCAGTCCAGAAAAATGCCCCGAAGGGCTCCCACACGTTCCCACGGTTCCACTGACTTCAAAGTCTCCGGAGCCTCAGTGGGGCGGTCTGCACGCTGGGCAGCCCTGGCTGCCCAGCTCCCACCGGAAGTCCAGGCCAACCTGAGAGCTCATTTAGGGGAAATGAGCATCCCTGGGTTTGGAGCAAAGGACTGAGCTCCGGGAGGGGGCATCGTTCTAACAGCCCCAGCGACCTTGGCAGCCGGGGGGAGCAACCTCACCATTTGAATCTTTAGAGTTAAGTATCAAGAAAGGCCGTTGGCACCTGCCTTCTCCCAGTGACAATTAGTGTCACGTCAGTTAATTTTCCGGGTCAGCTCAGGGAGCCCAGAGACATCTCTGACGTCGGAGGTGAGAGCCTGCGTGGGTCACTTCGGTCCTCATCTGCACCCGCCACCCTAAACTCCATTTTTTCCCAGGGCTGACTTCAAATCCACGGGACCAGGACCGGTGAGCACACCACACGCCCCCCCACACACACACGTGCGCAGCTCACCTGGTGCTGGGGGACCACTCTCGGTCCGAATTGGGGTACGATGCTGACTGAGGGTAAGTCAGGACCGAGGAGAGGTTCTCCTTGGGGACGTCTTCTTGGAATGGCGGCACGTCATTAGAGAGAGTTCTGGTGTGAAAAAGTAACAATAATTAAAGCCTAAGGGTCATCAGCAACAGAGTCATCACGCCGCCCTGTCCCCGTGAGCGCCTCTAAGTGGCCGCAGAGCCGCGAGATCTCCCTGGAGCGCCCAGGCACGCGCCAGGCGGTGCGGCGGGAAAAGCCGAGGCGCGGACAGTGGGAAGGTGTTCTGTGCTCACGTTGTGGCTGAACTAGAGGTGTAACGTTATTCTGTTCAGGTACGGAGACGCGCCCACGTGCACCATGACGGCCCTGCCTGTCCCTTCCACTGCAGCCCCTCATCCAGTCACCTTTCCGGTGTCATCTCCCAGGGCCTGGGTCCCACATGGGACCCCCGGGCCACAGAACTCGGTTAGAAAACTCTCTCCATGCCTGGGGGGGCAGCTGCCGGATGACTCAATTACCACGCACGGTCCACATCTCATCCAGAAAAATAAATGATAAACAGTATAAACCAAATGTATCTTGAAATTACAAACTGACTGCCAAGCTCCCTTGTTGCGGGTATGACACACCCATTACGACGTATGAGTCGCCGCTTACTCAGGCGGAGACCACCTGTCTGCATATGTGACGTCACCTGAAGCCTAGCACCACGTTCTGGAACTAAAAGCCCAGCCCCTGTATGGAGCCCGCAGCAGACGACAGGCCTGGCTGGGGAGGGCAGTCCTGCCAACCCGCCCTCACTTTTAGCCGGGGGAAGAAGGGCTCTCTCCGAGTGATGAAGCAGGGGTATGTTCCTTACTCCCTCTTTAGGTTAACCCGGTACAGAAACAATTCCCAATAATGACGCTGAGTTACATAAAAATTGGAGACATCAAATAGTCTTCACAAATGAGGTTCTCTGTCTTGCAAAACTGGCACTTTTCACCAAAATAGCATTGTACAGAAACAGAATTTCACCACGCTGTTAAAAGCCAAGGAAGATAAAACAGATGTCCGCTAAACTGCGGGCCGAGTCAAAACGGAAAAGGCAAAGTCAGCGTGTCGACAAAATGGGTCATGTTCTACACTGACCTGTGATCCTCAGTCCACCATAATCAGCACCGGGCTACGACTCAGCCGAAGGCCGGGTACATAGCTGGTGCTCCAGTAAGAATAAGGAGGTTCTGACACTACGCTTTTGTGTGTGAAGGGTCAGTCTGCTCAGCCCCTGTTGCTCAGCTCTGTTCTGGACAGCGGAAGGGAGCAGCCACAGAAGTCCGGCATCGCCCACCATCTTAGTTATAAGCTACATCAAACCTTTGCTACTAGCCCTGGCTGGTGTGGTTCAGTGGATTGAGCACCGGCCTGCAAAGCAATGTCACAGGTTCAATTCCCAGTCAGGGCACATGGCGGGGTTACGGGACAGGTCCCCAGTAAGAGGCGCGCAACGGTGTTTCTCTCCCTCTCTTTCTCCCTCCCGCCCCCTCTCTCTGAAGATAAATAAATTGGGTTTGTTTTTTTTTAAATCTTTGCTACTTAAAGATTGGGTCCACAGGATTACAACGTTCAGTCTAAAATGCATGAAAAAAAGAATAAGGAATTCTCAGGGGGAATGGTAAGAATCTCCTTAAGAAACGGTGTCACCAGTTCTCAGGCGGGTCCTGCCTGACTGACACTCACCTACTGCTGTCCAGCGGGTCCGTCTCCTCGTCGGAGCTCATCTCGATGGGAAACATGTCCTCGTCTTCCGATGTGTTGGTGTTGTCGTCCCTTTTCAGGCTGTCCAGCTGGGACTTTCTCCTCCTCTTCCTTCTCTTCTTCACTGAAGAGCCGCTGGAAGGGGCCTCGCTGGGAGCTAAGACCGGGGCCGGCGCGCTGGCGTCCAGGCCTCGCCCGCGGTCCGCGGAGTTCCTCCTCAGCTGGCACTCCATCCGCGAGGCTCCCTCCGACAGGATGGGGGAGGTGGCCAGGTGCATGGGGATCACCTCCTAAGGGACAGAAGATTTTTTTTTAAAAAGAGCCTCATTCATTTGGGCCCAGAAGTAGGACCGTGCCACAGGCGTGCCGGTGCCTGCGTGGGAGCCCCGGTGCCACTCGGGGACGGCCACGCAGGGCCGTGAGGAAAGATGCCGCAGTGACCTGGGCAGGAGACCACGAAGTCAGCAGTTAATTCTTCAAGTGCCACTGCTGCTGTTTCCACCTCTGCGTAAGTATAACAATGTGAGGCCATTATCAGTCATTTCACGCCACCGAAACTCAACCCTGAACTATCCCGAGTACAGAGGAAACACTTGGCTTTGAGTCATCACATCACCCTGGGAACCGGACTTGGCTTTTCACTCAGTGTTGGCAAGGGGGTGTGCACAGGAGAACGTGCGTGTGTTTTCAATGTGCCCTGAGTTAAGATGTCCACACTGTTTGGAAGAGCACTGGACAGTCCCCCGTGCTGTCCCCCAAGGGCCTGCCCAGGTCAGGGGACAGCCAGGCAAGTGGATAATTAGATACTGACCCTTTTTGTAAAAACCAGAGGAGGGGACGGGGGCATAATGGGACTAAATTGTAATGAGAAAAAATACAATAAAAAATACTGAATTTTTTTCAAAAGATAAAAAGGCAAAAAGAATACAGAGCCTGTCAATTTCATAGTTGACCCATGGATTCACCAGTGTTTTAAAAACTATAGGAATCGTTTTGTTAACGATTCGTTTACCATGAGAAACCTGGTGACAGGAAGGGAAGAACACGAGTACAAGGGGGAAGAACAAACGTGCTGCTGGCGGTGGAAGTGGCTGAGGGAACAGCAAGTGTGCAACAGACACGAAACCTACTCTGAGAGGCTCAGCCTCAGGCCGAAGGGATGAAGGGACTGGGGAAGATGGGAGGGATGTGGGAAGATGGGAGGGATGTGGGAAGATGGGAGGGACCAGGGAAGATGGGAGGGATGTGGGAAGATGGGAGGGACCGGGGAAGATGGGAGGGACCGGGGAAGATGGGAGGGATGTGGGAAGATGGGAGGGACGGAGGAAGATGGGAGGGACCGGGGAAGATGGGAGGCACAGGGACGCCATCTCATCCAGCTGCTCAACTGGACCAAATGAAGAAGAAACACAGGACGCACTGACACTGGGTCAAGAGCAGGAAAGAAGGTCCTGCTGATGGAAAAGGGAAGGGGTGGGGCTCTGCAGTGGAGAAGAGAGGGCGCCCTGCAGCGGTCTGGTGAGGAAGGACACAGGCTCCCCAGTTTCCAGCAGCCTGTCAGCGGCAGAAAGGGTCATCGGATGGGACAGGACCTACTCTGGCCTCCTGACCCCGGCCACCCACCAGCACCTGTAAGGCCAGCCCAGCAGGACCTCTGAGGTTTGCAGCTTCCTCACCCAAAATGCTTCTCCAGCTCTTACAACATAACAGCTGCTGAAAGCCAAGGGGAAACAGAAGTTAAAAAGGCAAGCGTGCATCTGAGGTGGGAAGAGTGTCTGTCGAAGCATCATTAGGAACTAATTCATAATTTCACAGCCTTCCCTCTGAATCGGGGGTAAAGAGCAGGCAGGCGGGCAGGTGGGGCCCCGGATGGCCATGAGGCAGCTATTACGGGGCAGTTACGAAGAAGGGAGGCACCGCGGGAGGATGCCACACCTGTGGGCGGGCCAAAAGGAAGCAGAAAGTGGGACGGTTCTGTCCTGAAACTGGACACAGGGACACCTGCTTCAGAGCCCAGGGTGGTTCCTTTCCACCCAGGCTGCCTGCCCTGGAAGGAAGGAGTTCAAGTAGACTTTGCTGAGGAATGGCTACCCCGGACCACGTCACAGTGGCTTGCTCAGTGAGTAAGAGTAAAAACAGTAGTTTATTTATCTAGAAGAAGACACAGGGATAAATCTTTGTGACCTTGGACTTGGCAAAGGACTCCCAGATACCAAAAGCACAAGCAACAAAAGAAAAAGTAGATAAACTGAACTACGACAAAATTCCAAAGTTTGTGCTTCCAAAGACACCACACCAAGAAAGTGCAAAGACAACTGACACAGGGGAACAAAATGTTTACAAGTCAAATAGATTATAAGGGGGCTTGTATCTAGAATATATTACGAATTCTGACAATTCAATAATAAAAAGACAACCCAATTAAGAAATGAACAAAGGATCTGAATAGACATTGTCTCCAAAGAAGATACACAAATGGCCAATAAGCACTTGAAAAGATGCTCAACACCACCAGTCACCAGGGAGACGCAGATCAAAGCCGCAGGGAGACACCACTTCACACCCACTGGGAAGGCCATGATTGCGGAGTCCAAAGGGAACTCCCACGCACTGCTGACGAAAACATAAGTGGTGCAGCAGCTCTGGAGGACAGCCTGATAGTTCCTCAAATGTTACACACAGTGACCATCTGACCCCGCAACTCCACTCCCAGGTCCTCGCCCAACAGAAATGAAAACTCGCGTCCACGTGAAAACTTGTACACGAACGTCCACGGCAGCATTATTCACAAGAGGTGAAAACGACCCAAGCGCCCGCCCACCCACATGTGAAAGGGTAAACAAAACATGGTGCGTCGACACACGGGACACCGTTCACCATACAAGGGAATGAAGCACCAGCTGGAACACGGATGACCTTGTGCTGGAACGTGGATGACCTTGAAAACATCAGGATACTACGTGAGAGCAGACAGACACAAAGGATCAGAGAACACACAAGCCCGTTTATAAGGTCGCTCAGAGGAAGGAAATCTACTGAGGTGGAAAGCAGATCAGTGGACGGGGACGGGGAGGTGACGACAGGGGACAGACTTTCTGTCTGAGGTGATGGACGTGATCTAAAATTGACCATGGTAGCAATTGTGAAAACTGGTAACACCTCTGTGAAAATACTAAAAACCACTGAACTATACAACTGAAGTGGATAAATTCTATGGTATGAGAATTATCTCAACAATGTCGTTAGAAATTTTTAAGGAATTGAAATAAATGCAATCTGGTCACTCAGTAAACAAAAATTCCAACACATGGCCCTCTTCAGATTTGACACCAGTACAGTTTGTAAGCTCTGGACAAGGGTTCAGGCCAAGGTGATTCAGTTCTCCCATCTCTCCCTGCAAATGGCGAGCCGATGGGAGCAGCCGGGACTGCTGAGGCTCGTGTGGGCACCACTCGCAAGGTCTGCCCGGCTCAGACCCCAGTACAGACCAGCCAGCCTCCTCTGCCGCCCCCAACCAGCCAGGCAGGGACCGGTGTCACCCTCCGCCCACACTTCCGCTGTCCCTTAGATAAGTGGAGCTCAAGGCTCAAAGGCAGGAAGTGACCCCACCAACCAGCCTTCCCTACCTGATCATTATCAGTCTCTTGAACAAAAAACGCTTCTCCATTATCTCCCAATTTCATGTGCAAATCCACGGACTCCCCGTTGATTTCTATGTCGACCTGAAAGGAAAACAGGTGTCTCCACAGCAGGAAGTGAACCTCATGTGGGGGAGGGGGTGCCTCCACAGACACACACACACTTGAATCGCACACATGCCAAACACATCTCACAATCCCCACTCTCAATCAGCCAATCCGGTCCTACCTGCGCTTCCCCCATTGGAAAATGGAGCCGACCTCTCTACCCACACCTCCATCTCCTGGAGCCCGGCCGGCTTGTGACTGCCTCAACCAGCAGAACACACTAGATGACTCTGAGGCTAGGTCCAGAAAAAAATGCAACATCCACTTGGCACGCACTTGCTCCTTGCTCTCTTTCTCTCTCTCTCTCTCTCTATCTATCTCCATGCTTGCCCTTGTGGCCACCATGCTGTGAGGATGCCCAGCCCACGAGGAGGGGTCAACAGCCTCCTGGGTGGCCAGCCAAGGGCCACGGGTCATGTGAGTGAGCACACCATCAGAGGGTCCAGCCCCCAGCCGGGAGCCCTCCAGCTGAGGCCCCAGACAGCGACAGCAGAGCCAGACGGTCCTGCCCCCAGAACCCAGGAGCTTCATGAACAGTGGAACTCAATGCCCGTGGAACCCAGGAGCTTAACGCCCATCAGTCTGGGGACAATCTGCACAGCCACAGTCACCAGAACCAGTTGAACTGACTGTCAACCCAGGGAACAGCCCTTTCCAACGGAAAACTAAACATCTGGACCCACGACACGCTCCAGACACGTGAAGGCACAGAACTGCGGGGACTTTCTCTGCGGAGAGAAGCCACCCCCGGGCCCCGGGGCCCCAGGCTCTCACCACTTTCTCTCGGGAGCGCAGGACCCCCATCTTCCCGAAGCGGACGTGGAACGGTGAACACTGCAGGCTCCCGTTGGGCTGGCGGACGACGATGATGTCGATGCATCCGGACAAGGTGGCAGGGTTCAAGCCCTTGTAGAGCTCCTTCACGGTGACAAACACCTGGCCCGCCAGCTGCCCGACGTAATTCATGGTTTGAGCCTAGAAAACAGAGCCAGGCAGGACACACACAGACAAGCAAACAATTACAATTCGGAGAAGGCCGTCTGTCTAGAGTCAGTCAAAAGGTAATCCTTGTTTCAAAAGGTGAATTTGAGGTGGATTACATGTTCATTTGGTTCCTGGGCATGGGCTCCAACCCACCCCACCACCCACCTCCCTCCCACAAAACAACGAGCCACCAGCCCCCACCCAGAAGACCCAGGAGGCCTGACCTCCGTCAGCACCGGGCCCTTCCTCGCTGAGATCAAGGGTCTTTGTTCGTCCTCTCGGCCCCTGCCACCTGCACTTGCTCTGCCTCTAGTGAGGGTTCTGTGGACTAAACCTCAAGGCTGTTGACCAAAGATGCACACGACACCTCTCAGTACCCCACATGCCACATCGAGCAGGTACGTAATTCGTTGGAAAAAAAGACTATGTTTACTTGACAGGAAAAGAATGGTTATGATTTTGACCACTCCCACTCTGGTCCTTGCCTGCCCACGTGACTACCTCCCACACTCCTGGGGACACCTGTGCTCAGCCGGTGTCTCTGCCCGGCTAGTCCGCTGAAGTCCACTGGGCAAGAGTCCAGAGCACTACCAGGGGCCTGGGGCTGGGAACAGTGAGACAAAGACGACACAGTCCCGGTCCCTGTAGGGACTCACAGGCTCATGAGGGAGCGGAAAGCAAAACACGAGTCCCTAAAATATGTGTCAGTGCGCTGTGTGTTCCTGGACTTTAAGTACGCGCTGGGAGAGTGAGGACGGAGGACAGCGGAGAGCGCGTCGCAGAGGCTGGCGATGGGGCTGGGAGGAGGCTGGGGCGCTTTCACGTGAGAAGGTGGACGCGGGCCCTGCAGGAGGAGAGGGTTGTGAAGGCACAGACACAGCTGTCCCCGCAGCAGAGAACACGCAGGGGAAAGACAGCGCGTCGAAACCACGCCAGCAGATTTGGACGTTGCCGCACCGTAAGTGGGAAGCCACAGGAGATTCGGGAACACCACAATGGCGATTCAGACCACGGTTTAGAAAAAGCATCGTGCAAGAAGTGCAGAGATGACTGGCAACAAAAAAAGCAAAAAGCAACTGGCAGCTGTGTGCGATGGTGGCGACGGGAAACGACGCCAGCCTGAAAGGTGAGTGGCAGAAGAAATGGAGGCAGAGACAACCGGGCACAGAGTTGCAGGGTCTGAGCATGCGCGGTATGCTGGCTCCGCCCACCACCCCGCCCCCTTGCTGATCCGCAGCCCCCTGGCTCTGCCCTGTCACCTGTCTTGTTGAGACTCAGACACCTCAGCACGGTCCAGGGCACTTAAGTCTTGCCCTGCCATTTGTTTCTGTGCCCTCCTCGTCCTCACTCAGCTTCACTGGGCCACCCCACGCACCACCCTCCCCTTGTCCCCCCAAGAGGGGGGCTGCGCTTACTGGCCCCACTCTGGGTCCCCCTCCTCCCAGCTCTCACAGCCTCACACAAGGACCTGGTCTCCACCCTCCCCTCCCCGTCCTCTCTGTACATGTGGCACTTCCGGGGACTTGTGAGAGCATGTGGTCCAAACACCTGAGTAGGAAGGGTTTGCACAATGTGACTTCCCGTCTGCGGACCCCAAGACCGGGCCCTTCCTCCTGGCCCACGGGCCTCCATTCTCCAAGGCGCTGACCTGCCCATGGGGTACACAGGACACACTGTGCCCGCCCACCGCAGGTCCCTTACAGTGATCCCGGCAGCCACGACACCTGTCCCTGACCAGCCCCCACTCAGAGTTCAGTCCTGTGACCTTTCTTGTACTGATGTGTCTATTTTGCCATGAGGTTCTCTGTTGGCAAAGCCAGATTCTCCTTGAGACCAAGGATCAGGCCTTGTCTGTTCAAGTTAAAACAACAAAAAATGCCTTTTGGAAGCTTCACCCCAATCTCTATGACATAAGCTGCAGTGATATTAGCATCCCCGATTTGCAAATGAGGAAACCGAGGCCCAAACATAGTGGGTCCGATGGCCTGTGTGCACCAGGCAAAAAAGAACGGTGGATGTAACTCTAATTTAGAACCGAGAAGAGTCAAAACTCGATGGACAAAACCTACAAAAGACAGAGTGAAAGCCAGCCCTCACTTCTCATTTGGGGGCCTGAAACGATGCCCTCGGGCTTCGTACTTACCTGCCCCCTCAGACGAGGAACCCCGGCACCCATTCAGTAAACACGGGGAGATGCACACGCACCTGCCGCCCTCAGACAGGGACCACCAGGGCAGTCCAGCTTCCAGCGTGAACACAAGCACGCGCCCACGAACACAGAAAACCACACCATTTCTAAGCACACTTAGTGGTACAGGTTAACCGACTTTGTGGAAAAAGGGAAGAGTGCACAGTCCTTGAAAAGAGGACTATAAAAAAAGGATTCTTTGTAGCCCTGATACTCCTTACAGGGAACCCTTCTATTCAGGAGACTGTCGCCATGATGTCCAGCCTAGATGTGACCACACTGTGCTGAGGGGCAAACCTCCAAAACTACAGCTACGGGCAAGCAGGGCGAACAGCATCTTGCACGATTCCTTCCACACACATTACCTTGTGCTCATGTGATTCGAACAACCACCCCGTAGGCACGAGACGAGGCCTGTCAGAGGAGAAAACTCAAGGACAAGCGACAGTACGACAAAGCAAAAATGCCCAGGATCACAGGTGGCCCAGCAGACCTGGAATCCGGGGCTTTGGACTCGGTAGCCTCCCCCACGTCTTCTCTTAACCATCCACCTGTGTGAATGTATGAGCTGTGCTCATCACGGAATGACATGTGGCCCCCCCCTCCCAGCAGTGACATCCTGAAGCCACGCCGTCGTACTGCTGCTGCTAACACAGCTCCTGAGACCTCAGGGCCCGCCAACCAGCACTTTTTATTAAAAACAGACAGAAAGCTCATAGCTGGGCGGGATGACCACATTGCCGCCGCCTGGCTTCTTGTCTGTAAAATGAGGACCTTGGCCTGGATGACCTGGAGGTGCAATTCCAGCTCCAGCCATTCGAAGAGAAAGGCTGCACTCCTTAATGCTGAGCGACTGACAGGGCATCTTTAATAATTTAAACTCAGTGTTCCTCTGTTCTCCTGCCCTCAGGAACAAAGCATCCCTCCCCCTCATTAAGGAGCAAATTCAAGGTTATCGTGCAGAATCTGAGCATTTTGAAGCTGGCAGGATCCTGACTGGGTTGATGCTCTGACACCAGGTTTCAAAGAAATATGCTCAGAAATGCGAAGTGACTTTGGCAGACTCCCCCGGGGCGGAGGCGGATGGAGCCCGATGGAGCCCAGGCTCGGGTTTCCACTCCTGTGATCTTCACTCTGTGCGCGCCCCGGGAATTGGCCTCAATTATGTTTCCTACCATAAATAGTCAGAAACTGCTTTGACATCTTCACCTATCCCCTCTACTGCATAACTTATTCACAAATCGAAAAATACTTCCATTTAGGAGCAGAAAATATGTTCATAATTCCTAACAAATAACAGAGCCATGGCCCCACCCGGCAACAGGCTCCTTCCTGTCCTCGGCATCTACACCCCGCGGCTGCCCGGCTGAGCACTGAGAGTCTGTCAAAGGGAGAACACGCCGCCTCCCACCTAGCAGGATGGCCACCGTCGAAAAGCAGAAAACAGGCACCGCCGAGGATGTGGGGAAACCGGAACCCGCGTGCACAGCTGATGGGGCTGCCAGACAGCGGGGCCACCGCATAACAGAGTGCTGGCTCCTCAAAGATGACAATGGAGCAATTCGGCTTCCAGGTGTACACCCAAGGCAAATCAACAGCACGCTCTCAAAGAGACGTCTGCACACCCTCGTTCACAGCAGCATCATTCCCAACAGCCAAGAGCTGCAAACAGCCTAAGTGCCCATCGATGAAAGAGTGGGTAGAATCGTGGTACACGCACACAACGGAATGTTATTCAGCTTTGAAAAGGGAGGGGATTCTAGCACATGTTACAATATGGATAGACCTAGAGGACATTGTGCTAAGTGAAATAAGCACACACACACAAACAGCGTATGATCCCACTTAGACGAGGTGGCTCGGACACGGGGAGCGGGCAGGGGGAGAGTGTGTCCTGGGCACAGGGCTTCTCCTGCAGATGAGAGACGGTCTGGAGCTGGAGCCCAGCGAAGGTTCCCCAACATCACTGTACTTATTACGTTAAGTGTACTGAAGTATACACTTGATGGTTGAGAGAGTCAATTTTATGTTCTGTGTATTTCTCCACAAATTAAAAAAAAAAAAATTCTTAAGGGGTGAGGAAGAATACTGTATTAACCAGAACTCATTTCAGGAAGATGAGTATTAGTTGGTGAAAATTGTTCTTCAGAAGGCCTTGGGCCCGGGAGACGTGGGAGAGGGTGGCCCAGTCCCCCTGGGATCTGCAGGGCAGAGGGGCCCTGGCCACAGGGGCTGGAGCGGCTCCCCTCTCCCCGTCCCTGCCCCAGGACCTCCTCCAGGTCACTGCTGAACAAAAACTGAACCGGCACGGAGATGCACCAGCTGGGCGCCAGGTCCCCCTTCCAGGGCCATCAGCTCCCTTTGAAGTAAAAGGATCCAGAGAGAAGCTAATTTGATTGACCTGCAGAAGCCAGCCCAGATGTCGAAGGTCAAGCTAATCTCTGACCACCACGGTTTCCATGAAGACACACGGCCAGGCCTGAGGGGAAGATCTGTTTTGAAGAAAGTATCTTAATGCCTCAAGAGTAACAGAAGTAAACCTGCAGAGAACCAAACAAAACGCTTAAATTTCCAGTTAGGACAGCTTTGAGACACGTGCTCTTCCTTCTCCCCGTACCAAATTACTTCAGATCGGTTGCTTTTAATCTCAAAACTTGCAAGAAAGAGCTGCTTCGTCTGACAGGGCTTCAGGGACCGCCTGAAACAGGATTCCACAGCCCAAGTTCAAAGGGTTCTCAAGGAGAACTGAGTGCGACCTCACAGACCCTCCGGCCAAACCCGGCTGGTCAGCTGTGGTGTGGAT